GCACAGCTTCACTCCCACCTCTGCCTTCCCCCTGCCCTGAGCAGCACAGGGGGGTGGGAAATGGGGGGTCGTGACCAGCTCATAACAGTTCCTCTCTGCTGCTCCTTCCACCTCATGCTTTCTGCTGCTTCAGCATGGACATTCTCCACAGGCTGGAGCTCCTTCAGGAATATCCCCCAGCTCCAGCATGGTCCTCCCCAGGGGCTGCAGGGAGTCTCCACTCTGGAGCATGGAGCATCTCCTCCCTCAGTGACCCTGGAGTCCGCAGGGCCGTTTCTCTCTTATTTTTCCTCACTCCTCTCTGTCTCAGTTGCCGCATAGCACTTTTTACTGTTTCTCAAATACATTATTACTGAGGCACCACCATCTTAGCCGAGGAGCTCAGCCGTGCCCCGGGGTGGGTTGATGCTGGCTGTGTCCAGCATGGAGCAGCCCCAGCCTCTCCTCACAGAGGCTGCCCTGCAGCCCCCCAGCACCTGGGCACCTGCACCCAACACAGGAAGGTATTTACGTGCTAGTCACACTTTCTGTCAGACTAGAGAAACACACTGGGTTGCCAGATGAGAAACCTCCATGTGAACACTGACTTTGGATCAGGCACACTATTATCTCTCTGCTTTATGCTTAACTGGGCAGCGCAATGGTAGCTGCCACCTGCCATCAAACCTCCACCCTCCTTCACAACAGGCATGAAGTTATGCAAGAAAAAGCCTCTTCCTCAAATTTTTATGGTAGTTTTAATATGTACTGAACTTGACTGTAGATCAGAAATCTTCAAGGCATAAGCAAGATACTCAATGGGGTTAAAAAGTATAGGTTCAGCCCTTTTTCTCTACTACACCAAAGAAGGGGAGAAAAATAGTCACACCAAGATGTAAGGTACAGCAAAAACTATGTTCTTTCTGTAGAACCTAGAACAATTCAGGGAGTATCTATCTTTCATAGAAACTGACAGAATGACATGAAGAAAGGAAGAGATTGATAAGGGGCAAAGAGAGGTAGCAAAAATTCAGTTGACGTGATGTCTGCTTTCCATAGATTATTGAAACTCTTCAAAAGAAGCCCTTTCATGATGAGAAATTTTATTCACAAAGATAAGTTTCTATGGATTTTATGAAAACAATTGGCCGGTACAGGGGTGAGAGTTGTGCTGCAAGCAGTCTCTTTGTCACTAAGGAGGAGATCTAGGAAATAGCCAGACTCTAGAAGTTTGGTTGAAGATCTTGCCAAACTCAACTGATTGTAGGATACAAATCACATAGAACTTGGCCTCCTGAATGCCAGAGCTCACAGAATGCTGTTTTTAAAAAAAACCCAAAAGTTTACATTCTTTATTAGGTTTTATTTCTTCATCACACACTATTCAGAAAGATTACTTAATTTTCTTTTTAGTTAACTTTTTGCAGTGACATATTTAAATATTTTTTTTTTTCATGTTTGACCATGACTGGCTACTGTCAACTGAATTTTTAAATGCTGATCAGCTGTCCATAATCCTAGAGAACTGCTTCAAGGATTTAATAGCTTCTGACTTCATCTGAAAGTCCCTACTTCTTCTTGTCAGATACTGAAGTCAATATATTGATGGGTAATGTCTCTGGCAGCCCCCAAGAATACTCTGTGCTTTATTTGCATCAATATACATTTGAACATCTAAATCCAAAGCTGCAGAGGAGGTAGAGGAGGCAATTACTTCTAAAGCATTTTGTATAACAACTAAAACATAAGAAATTATTATTAATAGCACTCCAATCTAAAGTGGCAGATTAAGCAAGCTTTCTTCTACATTCTTGCTGCTCATTAAGCATTTTGGAATTTACCAATGGATCCACTTTTCAGAAATTATTCAGATGAGGTTTATGTTCCTTATTCATTTAAGAACATTAATAATATGTGTAGACCTAAAGAAGCTTCTAACAGTCTTGCTGCTTTGGCTTTTTTTGCACAAGCCATCAGTTCTCACTATTTAAATATGTGATAATATATTCGTTTGGAAAGTGATTGTATTCAGTGAAAATTTCACATCCTAATTGTATGTTTGTTTATATGTACAGGAGAGTTTCCATTCTGTACCTGGACAAATGTATTGGTTATATGGTGTACTATTTCTAGATAATTTTTTTAGAAATAACATGCTCTCTTAGTGATCTTCAGATTGCCTTGCACTTATAAATTGTATGCTTTAGACATCTTCCATCTTGATCCTATCTAATCATATCAGTATGAACATGTAATTTGAGAGAATGGAACTGATTTTTTATATCTGCCCCCTGCTCAGGTTGGGACAACAGGGCTATTTTTTGTAGAATTGGAAAGGACAGTTTTGTCTGTTCCCTGGTTATTTTATTAACCAGGGACAGTGCATTCAGTGCACTCAGAATGGGGATGCTGATAGGCTAAGTTCTGGTTCGCTGTATACTTTTTAAAAGCAGAAATCACTTTTAAATGGAGGGAACCAGGCCAAGGGCAAAGGCTGGGTTCCTTATCAGACTTTAGTATAACATTTGGTGAAATTCAGAGGAGAGAGGCTGTTCACATAAGTGATTTTGGTACCTGGAGATCACAGGAAGAACTCTGACTGCTATTTAACAACTGAAATTCAATAGTCTGGCTGCTTCAAATGGAAGACTTCATTTCTTATTGTCAGCAGGGTCTTCTGTCCTTGTGCAGGTGAGAGCAGTTTTCCAAGGGGGGTTAATAAGGCGGAAGAAGAGACTGCAGTTCATTCGATCACCTTGCAGCCTCCAGCAGTGACACGAGGAAAATGTGTGCTTTGCTCGCCCTTCTTTAATTTATAGTGCAAAGCTAAAAGAACTCAATATAAATACAAGTGAAAATGTGAATTGTGAGGAGTTGCCCCACTCCCCCGTTTAATATATTTGTTGATAGTGCAGCAGTGACTGAGTTTCAGGCTTTTTTACTGTAGCAACCTATTAAAGGAGCTACCTCCAAGAACTAATTCATGTGATTTATTAGTTATTAAAATTTAGTACTGCTGTATCACTGCCTATACTGTATTAGAAACAAATTTGGGCTTAGGAGTGGTTGTATATTTCTATTTTTAATTCAAATATATAAATTTGTATTGTATTTAAAGGTTTGATATGCTTTTTTCTAATGATATGTAATAGAGACATCCAAAGAAGAAACTCAGTGAAGAAGCAAGGCTATGCCTGGTATTGTTAGGGAATGATTTGTGCTTAGTGGAGGCTTCAGAAATCTTTTATAGGCAATAAAGCCAGACACTGCCTATTCTACCTCCTTAGCCCTCTGGACTGCAGCAGGGTCAAGTGTTGGTATTCGAGAGAAGAAATAGAAAGAAAGGATTAACTCTGATGCTCTGAATGGCCTATTTGGGGGAGGTGCTGCTGTAGACAGGGGTTTGAATTCTCTGCTGTTAAGGAGAGAGCGAGCACGAAGGTGTTGTAGCACCCTCAACTCCTTTTGCTGTTCTGTGCCCCTGCTCAGTAGAGAATACATAAACCTGAACAGAAGATTGGATATTGGGATCCCTCCTTGCCCTATAAAATGAACCTTTTGGTATCTGGAGTAGTTAGCATAGGCCTTGCTTTAAACAATGAGAGTCCTATAAGAAGAAAATACAAGTATCTCAAGTAGACAGCAATTTATTCTGAATTTTCAGTGTCTTAACTCTGCTATCTAATATTAAAAATGTGCACAGTGGAAGGGGAAAAAAAATAAAACTGTACTTCATTGATTAACTTACTGGGAGTGAGGTGTAAGACTCTGTCTATGTGTATGTATATTTTTTGTATGTATATGCACATTATACATATAATGTTAAGAACAAACAAATTCTATGAAGTCTTGAAACAATTCTGATTGTTTTTCTAAATACGTTTGATAAAATCAATGCAGACATCCGACTAATAGCATTTTAATGATGTTTTAACAGGTTTTGTCAGGTTTTTAGAAGGCTACTACATTGTGTTAATAACAAAAAGAAGAAAAATGGCAGATATTGGAGGTCATGCAATATATAAAATAGAAGATACAAATATGATCTACATTCCAAATGACTCTGTAAGAGTCAGTCATCCTGATGAAGCCAGGTAGTTACGGTGATAAACAGTGTGTACTTTTTGAATGTTTTCTAAGCAATGGTGAACCACAACCTGAAATTTTGATCATGGATTTCCTTCTGTTAGTATGTAATTCAAGCCATTTTATCTTAGTTGATAAATTAGTGTGGAAGAATGGAGGATGGGCCACAAGTTCTGGGGCCTCTATCCTAAAGCCTGTTAAGAGTCTTTCAGAGCTTTTTGTCAACATCTCCATGTCACTGACATGTCAAAGCTACATCCTAGCAAATGTGCACCAGAAAGTATCCAGTATAAACGTTGTTCTTACAAGGGCAAAGTGATGCTAATACAGGTTTATATTGTTTGGGGTATTATTCTTTTGTTAGTAACTCTAGCATCATGTTAATCTCGTATGAAGAGATCTTTTTGCGCCCTTCAAAAAGTGCTGAATATGTTACATGATTCTGTGTAGTCAGAATCTTGTGAATGTAGGTGTTTTAAAAGGTGGTTAACAGATCCACTGGTAAGTTTAGCTTCATTTTTCTTTCTGTGACTTTTCTTTGAAGAAAGAAATTTGAGTCTTCGATCAGCAGGGAACCTTGTATGAAATGTACAACTACATCCTGGTGTTGTTTTTATCAGGATGGGATAAGGTCTGTGAAATACCAGGCAAATGATATATACAGACTGCTTTTCAGTCTGTGTCAAGTGTGAATAGTCAAAAAGTGATGGATTGTGATATCAGGTAATATGTCAAGCCAATGATAACTATTAAAAAAGTTTCCACTTTAAGGTATGACTGATTGAAAACCTCAGTCTTCTCTCTTAGAATGCAGCAGACTGTATTCTCTAACCTAGGTTAGCAATGATGTTAGCAATTTTATTGTTTATAGACAGCGTTATGGTTTCTTCTGAGAATATGATGGGTTGAAGTAAATATTTTAGTTGTTAATTTTTTTGAGAATAACTGTGAAAATCTTTCATTCTTGTATTGTAAGGAGTTTGCTTGTGTAAGTCCTAGATAATTTGACCCACATATATGGAAAATAGGACTACAACTTCATGTACAACTGCATAAAGAAACAGAGTATGTACATGAGTAGACACTGGATTAAAAAAAAAAAAAGGCTATTTGATTTATTTAATCCAGATGCTGACATTCTAGTGGAATTACCTGTCAAATCAATTACAGTAAGATAGGAAGGGAACATATGGCAGGAGTCAATAGTTATATGTAGTTCAATTTCTGAGATCCTCTAAATGACTTACTGGGGTCTGTCTGGTTAAACTAATAATTTTCCCTTTAACTTGAATTATTTTGCTAGGTATCTGAGAATCTTTCAAAATGTGGACCTTTCTAGCAACTTCTATTTTAGGTAGGTAATAGTTACTAATTCCTTTAAAAAAAATTGTATGCTTACACTTGCCATAAGATTCTGCTTTTGGATTTTGATATCTGAGGTCTTTAGGGTGGTATTCTGGGGAAGTAGGATGCATGATCACACTGCTTGTCCATTTTAATCTGTGTCTTGTGAACCTGCTTTCTCCTTCAACAAATTGTTTAGGAATGTAGTCTCCATGACTCCACTACAAAACTATAGAACTATTAGTGGCATGGTAGAAGGTAGACACTGAAATTATTGTTTCCACTGACCTTTCAGCTTTGCCAGATTAGTCAGTTCTCTCTTTGGAAAAGTATTATATTTCAGAGGGTTTGCTTGTCCTGTCAGTTATTCTTTCTTGATTTCATTTTCCAGAAATAAAGCTTTGTCTTGATTCTGAAACAAAGATAGAGAAATAGGTCCTCATCTAAGATATACCCTTTGTAGGGTACATCTTTCATAGGGCCTTCTAGACATGGCCATTATGAAGTGTACCGTTTCCTAAATGCCATACCTAAGACAAGTTTATGTGTCCCAGCTACTGTTATACATGAGATTTCTGGGACAGCAGAAAAATGGGAGAAATGTGATAAACCTGGCAGTAGTAGTTAGAAGACTTTAAGACTTAAACTAGACAAAACCACCCTCTTGCATGTACCAAAAGTTGTATGAGTCCAGGAGATACTATGTCTTGGAAAATAAAGGCTTTTTGTTGCAACTGTGTTTGTGAAGACAAAGCATTCCAAAGCTTCTTGTCTGCTTTGTTGTTTCGCATGGGAAGGCATCTTCACAGTATAAAACCTGAGTTTTCCCTCCATACTTTGTCTCCCAGGCCTAACATTATACACATAATACAACTTTTTTTTTTTCCTCTCCTACTTGGAGATACGATGAATGTACACTGTTTCTGTGGTCATGTGTACAGGGGAAAGGAGAATGTTCTTATACTACTCTCCAATAAATAAATTTATTGGCTTAATTTAAATTGTTCTTGGCTGAAATCATAGCATATTTTTCTGAATGGTTTTCATATAAATCCTGAACAGAATTAGAATTTAGTTATAAGAAGACATGTGGTCTAAGCGGATAATAGTGTAATAGCCTGAGCAAGTCTTTTACTAAGATACTTTAAAGGTTCTATTATATACAAACTGGGCATGTAACAGGCTGCTTTTTATTTTTCCTTCCTAACAGATAAGCATGTCAGGTCATTAGTATGAAAGTGTGGTGAATACATGTGTTAGACTTTATCATTAGTGATAAATCTAAATGTCCAGTGTTTAAATAACTTTTTTAGATCATTAATGAATATCTGGAACTTACAGGAGGGTCAGTAATCACTGATGCTGTCTTAGGCTAAAATGGAAATTTGTGTGTATTTCTGATTCAAGTGTTCTGTAAATTTGGTTTCTCCTTGGGGAAATGAATCCTAGTGGCTTATAAAACTTAGCAATTAGTGTAGAGTGTTGTCAGTATAAAAGACATGAGATGCAGAATTTGTTATTGTAATGGAACTAATAAAAAAAGCCCCTTTTGTTTATTCAGCATCCACTGTCTTAAGATGCATCTGTGCTGCAGTCACAATTTGAGGACAGGTACAGTTTATGTGGACTGCATTTTTAGCTATTTTGAGTTCAGGTAGTACTTAAATCTCAGAAAAATGAGATTGTCTGTGTATATGGATATTTCTGGTGGAATAGGTATTTTTGATATTCAGGACTGCTTCTTGAGACATAGTGAATTAAGTTTGATATGCTTTGTTCAAAAGGCATGTTTAGTTTTCAGTTATAAGAAGAATATAAATACAGTTTCAGCTATTACACTATAAAAATTTTCTATCTAAAGCTTCTTTTGGAAATAATTTGTGTCATTGTTATTGTATAATCAGAATCTGTGTATCTTGTTTAAAAGTCTTTTTTTAATGGGTAAAATAGTACTGTGTTAAATATCAGTATAGATAGAGAGTGAGGGCTTTCAGAAAAGTCCTGTGCATCTACAATTATTAATACATGTAAACTGTCTATCAGTTACAGCTATGATCTGTCTCACTCCCTTCAGTATAATCTTACTGTCCTGAGAATGCCACTTGAGACATTAAAAACTGAAACAACCCAGACCCGACAAGAGAGTTTTGATATATTTGAAGATGAAGGACTTTCAATGCAGGGTGGAAGTGGTAAGCAAATACGCCTAATTAAACTGAAGTTGTTGGTCATGAGTACATTTAGAATATGTTCAACTTAAGTTTCCTTTGAGAAACCTTCATGTCTCCTGTATTGATCAGTAGTTCCATAAGTCATGAGTTAATTAAAGATTACGTAAATTGACAGTTACAGCCATTTGAATTTAAACAGTGCAGTTTCTAGAGGTGATTAGTCATTGTTTTGTTAATTTACATTGCAACTCAGGGAGGTAATTGAGCATGCTGACATTTTTCAGAAATTGATTATTCAACTCACTTGTAATACTCCCAATAGGAATGACTTAGAGAGTGGGAAGCAATAACTGATTAAATACTAATAAATCTTTTTTGTTTCATGTTGGAAAATATTGTAGACAGAGGAATTGTATGAACTTGATGTAGTATGCACTATCAGGAACTCTACCAAAAAAATATTGATTTCAGTTGAAAAATACAGCCTTCACATTGGTTTTAACATATTAGTGAGAGTGTAAGGTGACCAGCCAGACTGGGTAAGTTTTTTCTCCCTTTTGCTACACACGTACACACGTACACACACACACATACACGTTTACCCTGAAATTCTTAATATTGGATTCTGTTGAAGTTGATGATAGTTTTTATGTTTTATTGCTCTGTAACTTCTGCTAATTATCTGAATGCTTGTCAAAAAATTACATTTCAATTTTTCACTTTCTGGTATATGTGACACCACTTTTTTCCTTGTTTAATCATGAAATACCAGAAATAACAGTGCTACCTTTGGTTCATAATGAATATATTGTTGTAAAAGTGGTCTCAAACAGCTGTAGAGATTCAACTAGCCTTTTTAGGTAGGTAGGTAGTAGAACACCATGCCTTTTAAATACATCACTGATAAGCAAAACAACAGGATATAGGAAGTCTGCTCCTATTTTGCTTAACACTGTAAACTTGATATGGAAGCCAGCTTAGATGCAACACCTGGATCTGTGCCTGTGCTGATTATATAGAGCCTCAACAACCTCTCTTCATTACCACCCTTACTTGTAGTCTGTAGGATGAGTAACTTCAGTTGCACAGAAAATACAATACACAGAGAAATATGATATGAAAATCCTCTGTTCTATAGTAACTTTAATTCTTTGAGATAGTGTGAATTGCATGAGTCATCTTTCATCTCTTCTAACTCAAAATGAATCTTCTGAGGCATTGAAGAAAGAACTTATTAGTCCTGCTTTCTGTGCCTCGAAGGGGGACTCTGAAGGCCTGACAAGCACATAGTTAAAATACAGAAATACCTGAAACAACCCCTGAAAATTTAAGTAACGTATCTGTTGATATGATAGAATATGTGTAAGAAATGTCATTCAAGAACAAACTCTCACAAAAGTAATGCTGCTAGAAATGAGAAAGAGGACAATTTTCTGACCAAACACTTGTGGCCAGGTTCTGCTGAATGTATACATCCCTTCACCAAAATAGTTGCCTCAGTTTTCCCTGAACTTATGGTAAGTTGGGTGACTAGGTAGTAGCAGTTTGTTCAACAGCTGCATTTTCACCTTCAGTCTGTTAGGTGAATGCATCCATTTGCCCCAGCAGAACATTTGGCTGCTAGGACTGACATACAAACTGATACACTATAACTCATTATGCCAAAAACTTCATTTGAAAAAACTACACAAAAAATGTAGGTAATAAACTTTTGGTCCTACTCCTCAAGATTTAAACTCATTCAATTCCCTTCACCACCTTTTAGTGCCATTTTTCATCTTTGTACTGATTTTTGAAATAGAAAAAGACTCAGGTTCCAGATGTATCAGAAATTGAATTTTAATTTGCATATCTACAATAGCTGCATTTCTTGGTGTTAGTGCAAATTAGGGAAACCACGCTAAATTATTTGAGAAGGGGGTTGATGTGCTTTCTGTAAAGGGGGCCAGGGCTATGCATGATCTTCCAGAGCTGACTCAGAATTGAAAAGCTTATGAAGTCCTCCTATGAAAGTATTTTTGCCTTAACTGGAACACACATCTCAGTTTATTTCCCTTATTATCAAATCCTCTGCTGCTACAATACAGAGATCTCTCTTCAGTACTGGAAGTACCAGAAACTTCTGTATGAAGTCACTCAAATACTACAGTGACTGGCAACCGCAGAAAAACTGTAAATCCTCATAAATCACAGAATCATCATAGAATGGTTTGGACTGGAAAGGACCTTAAAGATCACCTAGTTCCAACCCCCTGCCACGGGCAGGGACACCTTCCACAAGACCAGGTTGCTCAAAGCCCCGTCCAACCTGGCCTTGAACACTGCCAGGGAGGGGGCAGCCACCACTTCTCTGGGCAACCTGTTCCAAATGCTGAACTTCAGCATATGCCTGAAGTCATTTTTGTTTGGCAGACTTCAAGGATGTGAGTAAATGGTATGTTGCGTTTTAATCAAAGGAATATCAAAATAAAGCGCTAGTGACCTGGATTTTAAAACAGTTCAATGCAGGTGAGCTTGTTTCTCAATTGTTAATGCATTGTCATTGTAACAACTTCCTAGGTGTATTTGGGATTTGCAGTAAGCCTTATGAAAAGTATGTGTGGAATGGCAAGCTTCTGGATGCAGTAAAAAATACTGTTCATCGTGACTGGCTGCTGTATATTATTCATGGATTCTGTGGGCAATCAAGTATCCTTTTCCAGTAGTAACAAATGTTGGTTTATCAATATTTTTATTTTTAAAGAAGTTAGAACATGTGAAATACATTGAATTATTTCTTTCTCATGTAAATACTTTTCAATTTTAGAATTGAATTTATATTTAGAATTTTGGTTGGCTTTTATTTTTGTTACTTTTCTGTCATTTATGCTAAAGAAGTATGATTATGTTCTTATAGCAGAGCCCTGACACAGACAGACTGCATTCTCAGAGTTTGTAAGCATAGGGTTTAGAATTTGACAGGATTTTAAGGCTCAGCTGTATTTTTTTCACAGATATTTGAGGAAAGGGAGGAAAGCTAAACAGAACTGAATTGCTGATATAGAAATGTTCTCTTACTAATCTTCTTAAAAACATTTTTTTAGTGACTAAGATTTGCAGAAATTCTTGTATTGTTTTCTGTTGAAGGTGATAGAACTTGAGGCCTGCTGTGTCAAGAGAGTTAAGTAAACACTAGAACATCTGAAAATCTTCTTTCCTGACTATATATTATTTAAATTGGGTAAATGGGTCTATGTACGTTGTAGTAGGAGGAGAAAAAGACCAAATGGATATCACAGTCCCAAGAAGTGCCATCTCAACATCTTAGTTGATAATTTAGTATTTAACAGAGACACTCTAATTTAGTCATTAACAGTATCATGTTAGTTTAAAAGTCTGTCAACGATATCTGGGGAAGCAAATACAATTATGAAGTTAAGGTTAGTGGTGTTTTTGCAAAACTTAGTTTTGATTTTTCATGATTGTAAGGCTGCCCATTGCCTTTGTCCTCACACAGAAAGCTAGATCTGGTTTTTTTTATACCACTATTTCATCTGTGGTCTTACTTAATCAAAGTAGTAGCTGTGGATCTGACCACCAGCATTATGCCTGCAGCTGCTTAGTGAGTGACAGTAGTCTTTGCTCTAGGTATTTGATGAACAGATGTTTTCTTCCCTCCTTCTTGTGCCTCTCTTATGCTAAGGAAGCAGTGATAGTCATGCTAGACATCTGATTCTATCTTTTTTGGTTTTAATAAAAAATGAAAAGCCTATAAGAAAGCCAGCGCTGCATCTGTAGCTGTTTGCCTCTGGCATTCAGTTGTTGATATTTAAGTAGCTGCAAATTTATCTGCTTTTCCAGACAAATAATTAGAGGGTGACTAATGTACTTGATCTGAAAAGAGAAGCTCCCAGGCTTTAATCCCAGTGTTCCAAAAGCACTATTTGTGGCCCAAGGTGAATCTTGTACCTATTGCACCTCCATTGTCACTTCATAAAACAGAAATACTTCTCTTCTGTATGTTTCGAAAAGTGGTTGATATACTGTAATGTAGATTCCCCTTTCAGAGTTCTTAAAAACTGTTGTTGGAAAGGTCAATGCTCTCTTCCAGCTGCAAAAGAGATTTGGAAGGGATACTCAGCGCTGTTAAGGAGATTTTAATAAATCAAATGTTTCAATTTCATACATCTTTTTTTAGAATTTATTTTTGCTTCCATGAAGTTAACAAAAAATTACATTTGACACGTAAACCTTAACTTCTCTTTCAAGAACTGTTAATATATGGTCGCCCTATATATGTCACTCTGATAGCCAGAAGATCAAGCAAATTTGCTGGAACACGTTTTCTGAAACGAGGAGCAAACTGTGAGGTAAATTAAATGTGATTTTAGGGGTTCCTCCCTGCCCCCCAACAATATGAAAACTTGAGCTTGACTGACTGGAGAACTGAAATGTTTTAGAGTGTTATTAGGGTTTGGCTGTGAATTATGCTATTATATAATGTTATCACAGCTATCATTAAATTTTTGAGACAATAAAGCTGTTCTTAAAATAATAAGTCTTAACCAGCAGTTCTTTGTTTTACACTTAGAGTTATTTCCCAAATAGAGTTAAAAAATAAAAATCTGATCATATACACTTAGGGACAAATGGAAATTTAACCTTCAGTGGTGTTCTCACTACTCTGATTTGGTGTCTTACAGTTTTATTGTACTCTGTAATCATCAGTTCTCTGTCATGCCGGCAGCTCTGAAGTGACATGTTTGTCATATGTGTATTTCTGTTTGTTTTAGGGAGATGTTGCTAATGAAGTAGAAACTGAACAAATACTTTATGATGCTTCAGTTATGTCATTTTCCGCGGGGAGTTATTCTTCCTACGTTCAGGTTCGAGGATCTGTCCCTCTGTACTGGTCTCAAGATATTTCAACTATGATGCCTAAGCCACCCATAACATGTATGTACAAATTATTCTTTGTGATAGATAATGCTAGTGCTGTGTCCTAAAGGAAGAACTGAGGGAATGAGATCTAAATTTGCAAAAATGAGCAAATTATCTATGCATTTGTTCTTTGGGAAGCCATAATGGAACGTAAATCAATGTTCTTTAAAATAAACATCACAGCATACAAACATTCAACCATATAAAATGGTGTATTTGATGAACTTGGATAGAAAGAAATCTCCATCTTAGACTTTACATTCAGAAATGGAATACAAAAAACTTCTGTTTGAAGATGTCTGCTTTCTTTGTGCTTATTTTGTATACAAAGTTAGCTACATTTGTCTTAGCATTGTGGATAACATTTTGAACCTATTGAAAATGGTGGGAAATGTCTAGGCTAGTTTTAATGGTGTGAGAATAATTGTTATTTGTAAGCATCTCATGAAAGTTTTGGTTAAGAAGTCACTTCCAATTTGGAAAAGGGAAGTTTGGGTTTTTTTAACAGCTTTTGCATGAAAAGAGGGGAACTATGGAATTGTATCATTACTGTCAGAGAATAAACATGTATTTTGTGAAGAGAAAGTGATTTATGTGACGCTACAGCTTGCTTAATGTGAACATACGTATTTGTTGCAGTGGACCAAGCTGATCCTTTTGCACATGTTGCTGCTCTTCACTTTGACCAAATGCTTCAGAGATTTGGCTCTCCTATTATTATTTTGAATCTTGTGAAGGTACAATACTTTGAATATGTTCTATATGTTTTCCAATTTTTAATATTATGTTCGCTTCTGTAGAGTCTCTGTAATTTTGGTTGTGTTCTAAACTAAGATTAGCTTCATAAGTCTCATCCTACATGGTGTGGTATTTAACTGTAACTGCTTCCACTACCACCCTTCAAAAAATGACATTTCCCATGTTTATAGACTTCTTACAGTAACCTTCCACTGTTGTTTTCAGATTTTTTACAAATTTTTTTACCCTTAGACGTGAGTAAGTCCAAGTAAGTTCACCACTAAATTTAACTTAACACTAAAAATACTAAAATAATATGGTTCCATGCAAAGTCAGGTTTGTAGGCTTTGTGTCACAGGTGACTGAGTTATTTGAAATATTATGCTAAAGACTTATCTTCTGTTGTTTGTTCCATATGGTAAAGTCATGGCAGAATGAGCAGGAGAGAAAACTGAAGCATCTGATGCTAGCTAATGGGCAGTGCCATCATCAGCAGGGCTGGACTAATGGGGGGAGCTTCATGATTGCTGCAGTAATTCAGTTCACTGCTGTGTGAGAGGCGGTGGTGCAAAGTCTGGATTCTGGGTGGCCCTATAATTTTGGTTATTATATCTTGCATTTGTGCTGGGAGGGTGTTGGGTGGTGTTTTTGTTTTTTCTTCTGTTCTGATTCAGACATTTCCTGCGGTGATGTGTGTTTCCACATTTGAGTTTAATATATTGATTTGTTTTGCTTGAATCATATCTTACTTCTTTTTAGTCATTAAAAAAAAGAATAATTTATCATGTTGTAGAACTGTATTCAGTAGAAAAAAGGATCTTTTATATGCAGGTAGGATCCATTCCTAGGATGATAAAATAGGGAAAATACAAAAGGAAAGCTTTTAAAACTCTTAAGTTGTAATAAATGGCAACTAGATAACCTATTTTCTCTTTGTAGAAGATTTCCTCTGTATGAGTGCTTTTAAGACTGCCCAAGAGTCTGTGGAATCAACTTAGGATAGCATTTGTTGACAAGAAAATTATTTTATCTCTTGCAGCCATAGCTTTCAAAAGCCATTGTTGTTATAGTGTGAGTCCAGGCTCACATGATCTTGACAGTGAATCATTATATGCTTTTATTCACAGGGCTTTTGATATAGGGGCTGAAAATGCATCTCTCTTCTTCTCTCTCTGTAGATGCTCAATATTAAGATGCTAAAATTCACGTTCCTTTATTACTCTGTGTACCACTTGGAAAAAATAAACCACAGATGCAAAAGGGAAGGGGGAGAAGCCCCCAAATCTGAACACCTTTTTTTGGAAGTTGCTGTTGTTTTTACACAAATAATAAGCACTTCTATCTCCAATGCTTTTGCTTTCTTAAATGTTGAAATACGTATTTGTGTCCTCCTATGTCTATTGTAGAAACTTAACTAGTAATGAATATATTAGGTTTCCTTTGGGTTTGATTATTTAGGACTGCTATTATATATTTAAAACAAGTTTTATAACAGGTTCAGCATACACTTTAGTTTGGATGAAGTTAATAGGAAAGCCATACTAATATACAAGGTGTGAAAACACATGGCATATTTGGAGAACAGCAGCATAACTCTAAATTTTTAAAATTATTGCAAAGCTGGAAGATGGGAACTGTGGTTTCCCATCTCTTGCCAGTAATGCAGAAGAATTTGCCTGGCTCCTCTTGTACCCCAGAACTGAATGGGAAACTTTCTGCCTTTTTCTTTCTTGTACCCCAGAATTGAATGGGAAACTTTCTGCCTTTTTCTTTCTCTTTTGCCTTTGTCCATTTCAACTGTATTACCACTTTAGTTTCCATGTGCTCTTCTTTGCTCTTACAGGGTTCAGTTTTTCTGCCAATGATTATGCATAGTTGAAACAGGTGACTTTTACTACTATTACAGATCATTTGTTAAAAAAACCAGAATGTTTAGATTTTTCTGTCTCTTCTGTTCTTAATTTAATTGTACTAGTTAGGAAGAACTGCCTGCTATTGTTACAGCTTCCCTTTTTAATTTGTTTTATATATACATAAATGTATATGTGTATGTATGCATGTTACAAACATTAGTTAAAGAAAATTAACTTATTTTTCTTTTTGCTAAAGGAACGTGAAAAAAGAAAGCACGAAAGGATTCTTAGCGAAGAACTTGTTGCTGCTGTGACATATCTCAACCAGTTTTTACCCCCAGAGCATGCAATTATATATATACCCTGGGATATGGCCAAATACACAAAAAGGTAGAAGAGATCCTTCTTTATACTAGTGCTGGTAGCCACAATACAAATAAGTGTATGCTACTGAGTGTGTCGCTTTTCAGTTGAGTGTAACTTAGGAGTGATGGGAAAATTTTATTAAGATTTATGGACAGAATAAACCTCAGCTTTTTGAAGGTTTTTTAAAGTTTTCTGGGGTTTCTTACCGAAGTGGAGCAAGACCTGGAAACTTTGAAATTCTCTGCAAAGGCAAACTTTAGAAAAAAGCAACAAAAAAAGCCATCAACGTTTACTTTTTATTTTGAATTAGTCAAAATATTGCATTCTGTCAGGTGTTCCGTTTTGGTCACTGAATTTATTGAGTTACAAAGTTTTGGAAAACAAGGTGTTTCATATCAGTCTTTTCCATTTCCTCTTCCAAAAGGAAATAAGATCATTAGTTTCAATGTTAGAAAAAATTTAAAGTATTAGAATCATGTCTTTTAGAAATGCAAATATATTCTGTAACGCACAATTTGGTTGTAAAGTTCTCTGATCTGCATGTCTACTGTATCTCATAATGCCAGAAATTCTAGAAGAATGATAAAAATTGTTGGATCAACTTTCAGGTATTTATTACTATATCAGTCTGTGCAAAACAATGGAAAAACTGATACGGTTCAAAGGGCAGGAATTTAATTAATGTTTATAAATTAAAATATTATTTAAAAAGCATTGGAAAAGAATCCTTATTCACTATTTGAGATTACAGGTTGGTTGATACAGTTGGTCATGTAGGTGTGACACTTAAAATTTGACATGGTTTCACACTCCTTTTCATTCTAAAATGGCATTGTGTATAGTTAGATGTATAGTTAGATGTTTATCTTATGATTAAATAGCAAATCTCAAAATAAGGGTCGATTTCCTTTCAGAAGATATGCTAGATGCAAGTTCTTGGGTTTCATATGTCGTGATGCTGATGAAGCTTAATGGTCTGTCCTGTATGGGAAATGATACCAGATGATCAAACGATGCCCATTCTAGCTTTAAGCTTGAGGTATATTTATACACATAACCACCCTAGCACAGATACAAAAAATATCTGAGGGATTTGAACAAGGTTATTTATGCAAGCAAGAGATATTTAAGAATGGAGGATAATGTATATGTTTGCCTAAAGATTTGACAGTTTCAGAAATACTGAGAATGTGTTTGCTTTAACATGTAGTTTTGAGGTAATTTTGCTGGAAGGTAGTACTGGTGGAAATGTTCCAAAATATTGCTTCCATCTCAGTATAAGCAATCTTTAAAAAAATAAGTAATTGTTTTTGTTGTTTTAAATGTAAACACTCTAATAAAAACTCTGAAAATAAAATTATGAGTAAACAGAAGTTAAATTCCCCAAGAGTGAATGGGTGGATGTTCTGATCTGAGCAGGAGGTGCAGGACATCATGAAGGCCACAGAAACAAATGTTGCTTAACAAAACAGCACCTTGCAAACAAAATGAAGATATAATGATTTAGCTTTTCTGCTTCATTCTTATTTTGTGAATCACAGAAAATTTGGTAAAGTTACTGTGATGTAAAAGTCAACAAGTTTTAGATTTCTTGAAGTCTTCCACTTCTAGTTTATGTAATATCTTTTATTAAAAAGTAAACTAAATTTCTCAGATACGGTCACTGTCTGTTTCATAAGTCTGTAAAATCTAAGAGAACTATAGACATAATTAGTGTTGGATAAATGAAGCTGTGATGTGAGTCTTCCTTTAAATAATTTTTGTACTAGAACTTTCCAAGCAGTGAAAATTTTCATCGTATTAATGTATCTTGACTGTGTATTTTCCTTTTCTTTCCTCAGCAAACTTTGCAATGTCCTGGATAGACTGAACGTCATTGCAGAAAGTGTAGTAAAGAAGACTGGATTTTTTGTAAATCGCCCAGATTCCTACTGCAGTATCTTGCGGCCAGATGAAAAGTATGTATAATTTAACCGATGCATAATGACTAACATCTATTCCTTGGAGAATTGTCTGGAATTTCTATGTCTATTACATTATTTCTTATTTTAAGGGTTAAAATAATATGAAAAAAAAATTGTTATTATAGCTAAAAGGATTGCAGTTAAAGGCACATGCTAAGAGATACTAATACACTGAAAGAGTACAGTTGTGCTGCTGCTGTTCTACTTATAAAGAATTCTTACCTCAAACCATTATTTGTAATTGGTAACCTGTGCCATGTGTGTTTTATATAACGGGTTGGGGTTTTTTCGCCTAAACCAAAGGAATCCTAAATTTGGGGGTAAATTTAACAAAGCAAGCAACATTTGGAATTTAATAAATGGCTTCTTTTGAGGCATACTAACAAGATAACTGTCACGTAAATGTTACTGAGTCTGGTGTTTTCCAATGGATTTTACAGTATTCATACATACAGAATTTAAAACTTTTTTTAAAACAAGAAAGTGATTTAGTCAGCTGAATTCTCTCAAGTCCATGAAAATCCAGAAGTAAAACAACTTCCACATTAGAAGTTCAGTAAACTTGATTCAAGTTTTCATGTTAGGGATCTAATTCATCACTACCCAAATGGGCATTAATATTTTACATGAAGAGCACCTTTGCTTTTTTAGCCTATCTTCACTTAGAAACAGCCTGAGCTAAAACTCTCATAGGGTCTCTTAGAGCTTTTTCTCTGCCATGCAATGCAGCAAATGTGGGAGCTGTAAACTATCAGGAGCATGATCAGTATATCCGTGTAATGCTGTGTTCTGTAGAGAGTCTGGTGAGTCTTAGATGTAGTATATAGGCTTGTGATAGCAGTGCTCTGGTCAGGATAGGAAACTTTACTAACTTGAAAATATTCAGTAGTTCCAGGGTTACTTACACTGAGCATAACTACCCCTCTACCTCAAAACGTCATTAATTTCTGATTTGTGTTCTCTGGCTCTGGGCTATAGTTAAGGCCTATACAAAATTGTGAGACCTGTACATATGTATGTATCCAGCACGTATGCCTAGAATCAGTATGAGGGGGAGATCTAAATCAGCCAGCTTGTGCTACAGTGTATGTTATGCCTCTACCTCCCTATCATTGGCATTCAATTTTTGTGCATTCAGGATCCAATCTAGCAACACTTGTATTGCTCATACTCTGTTTTATGGGGAGCAAAGGAAATATTTTGTATGGCTTTGGAGTATTTCTACTTTAAGGCTAGACTTCTTGTTGTTGTTGCAGCCTGGTTTAAATACATCTTACTGTTGCATAGAGCTTTCACTGCTTTCTGCTATTCAGGTATATCAGTTTTGCTTTGTGTCAGGTTTGTAATTGTCACCCTTTTTCATTGAGCAGATCAATACATGGTATGATTTGTTATTTTTAAAAATTATTTGTAAGTTGTTCTGGTTTGTATCTCTTTTCAGGTGGAATGAACTGGGAGGTTGTATTGTTTCCACTGGTCGCTTGCAGGTACTAAAATACACTTTATTAATTCATAGTTATAGTGATGCAGATCAGCACTCCCAAAGCGCCAATGAACCATGTCGCTTAAATACTTGATTAGTGATTCACAGAGTCCTCTTAAATTAGTATTTACAGTAAACAGCATTATGCTGTCCATCCCAGAAATTCAGCTGGGAAACAGGGCTTAAAGTTCTTGCGTGGTACCAAAAACCTGATGCTGTTGGAACTGTATGTTTGCTGGAGCTAATCGGAGAAATGCTCATATTTTAAACTAGTTTTCATTATTTAGTCTGTAGAGCTATCAGTGCAGCAATAGTTAAAACAGCAGCCTTTTAGCAAACTGCATAATATAATGTTATACAGGAGAGGTGAGGAATAAACATATTTAAGCCTGGTGACATATTCATATGTATGAAAATGGGTTATTAAAAGCATTTACACCAGTGCTGAATATTCTGTCCATTGTTATAATTTCCATCACTAAAAAATAGAACTAGAAACACTGCTTTCTTTAAGGTCAGAAGAGTGCTGACTAAACTGTAAATCATATAGTGTCAGATTTATACCTGAATGTTATGATAATATACTCTGATCACAGGGCATATCCACAAGAAGCATTAGTTGCTTTTGACTTGCCATTCATAATTTTGTAGTTCATGTAAGTTAGAAAGCTGATCACTGGGATATGTTTGTTGAGGGCAGATAAACAGTGGACTAGATAGAATTTGATGTGTTTTAAAATAAAACATATCAACATTAATTAGATTTTTTTTTTTTTTAAATGCTAGTCTTACAGGTTTACCTGTGTCAGGGGAATGACTATTATATCTATCTTTCAAATGATTATATTATCTATCTTACAACTTTAATTATTTGAGGTGGTCACCATTGGCATACATGTAAGCATTTGAATCGCAGTTCATCTCGGAATAGACATCTTGTGAGTCACACCCAAAAAAGTGCTTCTTTGTTAAGGCAATAAAAGTTAAATTGACTAGCTTGGATGTAGCCGTATATACCTGAACAGAAGAAACCCCCTTGTTATATTAAAATACAGTTACTGCAGCTGTACATATTATAAAATAACTTTGTGTGCAATACGGTATTGAAGAATGGTGGTGCAAGCAGCATAAAAGAATATGTGCAAGACTCTGACCTTCAACAAAATGACCATGTGTGTTGCTCCAGAAAGCTTAAAATGTAAACACATCACAGCAAAACCATAGCAAGTGGACTTTATTCTTCGCAGTAGTTACAGCATACTTAAAAATGAGGCCTTCTTCACTGAAATAGTGGAGCTTTTCTTGTTAAAGTAAATCCTTTAGGGCTGTTTTTGAGTTGAAGGAGAGATGCAGTTTGTGTGATGATAGAAAGAATGTTTCGAAAGTAGTTGTTGCAGCAGTCTGAGGTAGCTTGCTATAGATTAATTACTTTTTAACATTTTTTTAGAAATCTCAAATTTTTTTGGACGTAATTTGAGATTTGACAAGTCTGGATAGTAGGAAAAAAAATAATAATGATTGTAATAATCTGTTAATTAAGAAAAATCTCTTACTTGGATTGCTTTACCAGACTGGAGTTCTCCGAACCAATTGTGTGGACTGTTTAGATCGTACCAACACAGCCCAATTTATGGTGGGAAAATGTGCTTTGGCGTACCAACTCTATTCATTGGGACTGATTGATAAACCAAATCTACAATTTGATACGGATGCTGTTAGGTAAGACATATTGATAAAGTGTGTCATGTTTTTTTTAATTTTCTATTGAGATTTAGGAAAATTATGTTTATGTAGAAGAAAAGTACAGTTGTTTCTATTGGAATGATTTAATAATATTTATTCATCTGACTTTAAAAAATATTCCATACTTGAAATAATCTTGAGAAAATCCAGTCACACTGAAGATTTGCTCCTCTGGAAAAGTATGTTAATGAGGTTTCTTACAAGATAGCTGCTTGACTTCATTCTCTTTATATGCCTAAACTTATCTTTAAGTTTTCCTTTTAATAAATATAACAAAAACCCCACCCCACTCTTTTACATTTACTTCACTTGCTTGAGGGAAAATGCTGATGAAAAATGAAAACTGAAATAAGTATGTGCTTTTATGGAGAATGCCAAACTGATATTTGTACAGAAGTACATCTTACCTAGCTGTTTCCTACAGAAAAATCTTGTGCTTTTTGATTTATTGAAGAAAAGTTTTCAGCAAAGTTGTTCTGTCAAATCAAGTATCAGTGATGCTATTCAAGTATTCTCAAACCATTTACAAAAACCCAGCATTTAAATTGAAATGCTTTGGGGGTCAGGAGGAAGTAAGCTAATCAACTTGTGAATATGCTTGAGAAATTAATGTAAGAGTCCTTGAGATGATGTGGTTTTATTCCTTAAAGCTGTTGTCGTGAATCTGAAACTTAACGGCTTCATTGCTGGTTTTGACTAGCGGTTTGATAGTTTTAGAATTTGGAGACGTAACATGTATTCCAGAAAAGGCAAAGTACTGGGTCTCCCCGTTACTTAAGACATACCTTCAGCTCCTCTTCTTTCTCCCGTTAGCCTCCAGCACTTGCCTGGTGGCAGGAGCTGGTACGTGCTGCAGAAACAACCTCACCTGCAGCATGTTGGCTAACTGTGTAAGCAGTGGCTCCTGGCCTCTGCCTCATGGCAGGGGAGAGCACCCGCTGTCTGGATTCCTCAGTGTGCTAGTGATGCCTCTCACCCACCAGTCCCAGCTGCTCAGTGCTGCATGTTCACCTCTGGGAGCAAACAAATGCTGCTGCAAATACCAGTTGCTGTGCAGCCTCCTGGGAACTCAGGAATAGGGACTCTTGGGTTCAAACTAGAGGGGTCAGGAGATGGACAAGTCTTTTACATCCCCTGTCTCTGGTATCCTCTACAGCTACCACTTGCTTCAGCACCTCAGGCTGCGTTTTACTATCTTTCATTAGGCTTTACTGCCTCATCCCTTCCCACTCTTATTTTGGGAGCCCAAATTTCCTGTGTTGATTCCTGCTGTGATGGTCCCACGTGACCTGTCTGTCTTCTCTCCCTCCTGTTTCCTCTCTCTGCCACAATCACCCAAATTTCCATCTCTTACCATCATCTCTTAAAATTACAGTAGTTGGTTTGTTTCTGATTTTCCTAATACCTTATTTCTCATTATCTGTCTGAAAAGTAGCTATTAGCCTGGCATAAAAGATTACTTTTATCTGGCCACATTTGACTTTTTTTTTTCTTCTCCATTGCACTAGATGTGTGCCTGTCTGAGACTGATTTTGTCATCTGTTAAGACTTGTTTCTGAATTACTGTATTCAGAATAATCAAAAAATCCTGCTCCATTATGCAACAAACTCTGAAGACAGGCATGTGCTATACTGTCTCTGCTGTGCAGTCCTTCACTTTCACCTCCTGCATTCTTGTTCCCTGCATTGTCTCAGATCAAGTATCTGCTTCCTGTGTACTCTGTCTTTCCATTTACACTCTTCTAACTGGCAAAAAAGTGATTTTCCTTAATTTAGCAAACATGTTTGAAAAACTAACATTTTTTCATCACGCTCTTCAACTGTCCTTATAATTCTGATTTTTCTCCTTTTATCTCACTGACTGGCTACAGTCCAGAATTTCTCTTGAACTAGATTTCTGAAGTCAGCACTTTATTTTCGTTGGCCATCCTGAAGGATAAAGAAACCATGTGTCTTGAACAGTCTGATTTTGTGTCTAACAAGGTTAATCTTCTTAATGACTTTGCAGAAATGGTCCTGTGCAACAAGCTGTATTTCTTAATGATTCCTTCAGTGTATTTGTTGTCCTATCTGAGAAGTTTCCTAGACAAAGTGTACCTTAGAAGCTTATCGTATGTAGTTAAGTTTTCTCTCTACAGGAGACTAGTCTTTGACTGCAGGCTTAATATTTTGAGGCTGTGAAGGGATAATTTAATTTTACAAGTCCTTTCCAAATCAAGTGGATCAACGTTCTTAATGAATTTAAAGTTGTCTACTTTCTGTAAACCTTTATTGCAAGGTCATTTAAACTCTGTTCATCAGTCTTCCCATGACTGACTGGAAAATTTTTGAGAGGTAACATACCTACCAGTTTTTGCCTTCAACCAGTTTTTTAGCTTTTGGTTGACCAGCACTGCTGTCTTTCCCCTTGTATAGAAAAACAAAAAAAAAAAACCCAAAACCAAACTGACTGAAAGAGACAAACAGGAAATTCTCATACATGTTACCATGAGCTCTCAATAATTTGGGTGGAGATGCAAGTGGGTTTTGCTTTGTTTCATTTGTTATTGGGGCTTTTTTTGGTTTTTTAGAAGTTAATAAGCAGATGTTTCCTCCTGATTGATCCTTTTGTACTTGACCTTGGGCAGAAGATTTGCTGGGCAGCTATTTTGTTTTCACAGAAATTGATTTGCTGCTCAGATAAGTGTTCTTCATCCAGAACCTTTTGAGGCGGACTTCAAGACGGTTTCTGGGTTACTTACGTGGTACTATCCCTTTATTAGAAACTTCCTTAAGGGAATGCTTTTGTCGTTTTGGTTTGTCACTGAGTGTACTGTCAACTTCTTGATGCTAGAAGATGAGCTTTTAGCCAGATTTCCTTGTTCATCTTAGCAGCCAACTCTTTCTACTTTATTCTTACAGCATGCTTTTCCAGCTCCAGCAAACGGTATCTGACTGCCATTCACATTTCTTACAAGTCATGTTTATTTTGTTTGTACCTTTAAGCCATCATTATTGTAACTAGGAAGATTTTTGGGAAGTTATGCTAACTTCATTCCCAGTGGAGCTGACAGAAAAAAATATATGCTTGAGATATGGATGCGTTCTGTTCTATTTACTCTATTTAAAATACCTTAATTTGTGAAAGTATATGGTTTGTGTTCTCCCTATAGGCTAGTAGAACATGTTAATCTTCTTCCTGAATCTACAGAAGTGCATATTCTGTAGTGTAAATGCATTCTGATATATTATAAATTAGTAAAAATCTTATAGACTAATCCTTCTTTAGTAATTATTATACCTAAGTAACATTTCCACATACCTATCTGAAAAAAAAAATAGAGACAGCTTTAAATGTCAGTGTAAGTTAGTAGCATGTTTTAATGAAATACTTTTTGTAAACTGTTTTTGTGACTTGGCAGAAGTGCTTAGGAGAAGAAAATGTATTGCTTGTTAGACAGACTTTATTATTATAATATTTTATTATTTTTTCTCTTTAAAAACTCTTTTTAGTTTGATATATGACAAATTTTATTCTTCCTTCAGATTATTTGAAGAATTATATGAAGATCATGGAGACACCCTTTCTCTGCAATACGGAGGTTCTCAGCTTGTCCACAGAGTAAAAACCTATAGAAAGATAGCTCCATGGACTCAGCATTCCAAAGATATTATGCAAACACTCTCAAGATATTATAGTAATGCTTTCTCAGGTAAATTTAAACTGCTTTCTTTTAAGCCATTATTTTAAAAGCATCTTACTTGTGATGTTTCAGTAATCCATGCTATGATCTTATGATAGAGATCCTCTATACTATAGTTTCCAAATAATTCAGTAAAGTCTGATGGATATCAAATGGGTATTCTGATTTGATGAAGTATTTATATCCTATGCAAATACATGTTGCAGCATGCACCCTTACTTGATGAAAGTTAGTGGACTGATGTAAGAAGTATTTAGAAAATGTACACATGTAGGACTGAAACTGCCAGTGACATATGTAGATCAATACAGAAACAGGTAGTTGTTACAGAGCTGTTAAAATGATGGACAAAACAGCTTCCACAAATATAAGAAAACTGGTAAATCTAAATCTAAACACAAGTAGAAGGCTTGAAGGAGAGTATTTCTTGTGATATTTCTGGCGACTTCAAACAAAAAGCAATCTCTGATGCATATAGTTGTTTTGTATGAATAGAAACTACTAACTCTGAATCTGTGGTAGAAAAGACAAAATTAAATTATAAAAAACAAGGTCCACCAAGTAAAGAAGCTATTTTTTGAGTTAAGTAAGTTGTAAAATATTACCTTACTCCTTTACTAACTCATACCAGTCACTGATACTGTTCTACTTTGTTCTGGAGAACATTGCTAAGAGACAACGTCTTTGAAAAATGCTGAGCCATACCTTATGCAAAATAACTGAAAACAAATGCTTAGTGTTTTAGAAGTCATGAGAATGACATAAAAGAATGATCAAAGGACAGCCCAAGACATGTTAAGACAAGAAACATTGAGTGCTGCTGTGTTCTAAATATTGTGTTAGTCCTCTTTTGCTGTCTTTGCCAAAAGCTGTATAACCAGGGAAGGAAGTAGTGCTTGCTTTTTTTTTTTTTACTGGTAGACTCATTATTTAGGAACTATGTGAACCTTATAAAGGTTGAGTTGGACACTGGCTAGAAAAACTTCAGTAATCTCTGGTTTCTTTGGCTGAAGTTACTGCTTTTGTTAGTGACAATTCTGAGTATGTAGCAAAATGTGAGAGCACAGCATTTAAACTACTGTTTCTGAATGTAATTAATGTCCTTTGTGTATCATATTTGCCCAAATTAAATAAGAAATTAAGAGCTTATTTATTTTGGTGGTATGGCCTCTTATTGTTTGCAGACGCAATAAGGTATGGCTTCGTCAATTCTTAGGAGCAAAAGGAAGCACACTTGAAGGATCACCTTGTACTGTTAAGTACAAGATGGAACAAATCTCTGAAGCTGTTCACTTTTATGCCAGACATTTAAGTGATTAGGTGGAAGCTTGAGCAAAGTTCTAGACCCACGTTTGGGGTTGTGGCCTGCTTGCAACGATAGTCATGATATGCATGTGTTTTAGTAGTAAAAGAATTTGTTGTGAACAAGATGTTACAAAAAGAAGAAAGAATACAGAATGCAAAAAGTTCATCTTATCGCCTGGGCAAAGTTGTGGCTGAGTACACAAACACATGTTAATCTTCACTGAAGTCAATGTGAAAAATTAAACTTTCATAAAGATGCTGCATACTTTTCCCAATTTACTTATGATTTTGTCATTTGATCCCACTTGAGTTAAATATTTTTGGTGCTTTATGCATTCCTTGTGTTTGAAGATGGCATTGTTGAAACATAGCATAATGTTGTATTTACTGTATTTTTAGTATGAATTTTTAAAAACACTAATTTCAGTGAAATTTAGTGGTTCACTGTCAACACTGCCTGTTCAGGTAGCATCTGCATCTGTTAATGTGACACATTGAGAGAGATCATTTTATTCTTGAAGTTTTCTCAGAAAGCAGAGATAAAGGAAGAAGTTTTAAACCAAGTTTCTGATTTGTTATGCTGCACTTATTGTTACTATCCATCATAGCCTTTAAAATACAAATAAAAATATGAGGGCTAGCCAGGCCGTGAGCCAACATTTCCTTGTGTTTCTGATCTGAGAAACGTATTTTTAATGCTTATGAATTTCATGTACCAGTAGTAAACGGACTCAGAAAATTTTAGTGATTTGCTTTAATTCATACAGTATATCAGATTCAGAGCAACATCAAAAGTGGCCTGCTAACAGTGCCTCCAAAATAAATAATTTAGCCACATTTTTGTCTTTTTTTCTATTATAAAAAATACAGGATTCTAAAAATTTATACTTTTAAGAAAATGGTTTCATCATGTTCACCTCAAAGCTCTTAGGATAAGCCCTACCTACTAATTAAGTTGTACAGATGAGAATAAGAAAGACATGTTGGTTAAGTGACTTGCCTGGAGATGCTAATTGGATTTGTAAGAAAGATAATTTTGAGTGCAGCTTCACTCTAGTTCTTGATACGTGGCCTAGCTTTTCTGTAGATTTCCTGTACTTATAAATTTGTAATATGTTGCCTGTGTAATAGAAGAGTAAAGAATTAAAGAAATGTTCTCAGGATCAAGTTAGTGACTGAAGCTTAGAAGAAAACCAAGGTTTCCTCCTAAAAATATGGGACAATGTTATGGTAACTTGAAAAAATTTTACAGGTTTAGGCAAAAATTATGACTTTTTTTTATGCATGTTTTTAATTCTAGCATTTGAAAAAAGTAGAGGGTACAGTGTAGTTTGGGAAGTCAACTGTTTGAAGTACCCTGGTTATAAGCAAATGAGTTGTACCAGAACACATCCAGCTAAGAATTAGGTGTTCCTTCAACACCTTCTCTGGCAGGCATTCTGATTAGTTGAATTCTAACCTTTTTCTTTCATTTGTGACTGTCAGAGGAATTAGTATTCCAGATAATACTTTTCTAGCTTTTATGCCTTTTAGAAAGTAATGTGATGTTGCAGACTTCAGTGCTGAAGCTGCAACATGCATAATAGGCTTCTGGAATCTAGAATAATCTATTTATCCACAAACAGCACTGGACAGAGTAAACTACCTTGTAGTGTTGTATCAAAGTAAACTTAATTACTATAACCTTTTAGTCATGGGACATTACAGTCTCAGTTTTGTTGAATCTGTCACAATTTAGTAATTCATCATGTAGCACATTTGCAAACTCAGATTGAGAGCAATAGATTATTTTAGGTTAATTCAATTAAATGGCCCCTGCAGTTCCTGTTTTCTCAAATGGTCTTAAAAATGTGCTAGTATACACATACATTGCAGTATCTTTTGAAAAAAATCAGTGCAATCTGTTTACTTGTACCTGATTATAACATTAGGTGCTAACAATGAAGGAAGAAAACCTGTTTGGTTTTTTGTCTGTTCTTCACAGTGCATTGACACATTATTTCTTTTTGAAAACAGAGATTCTTCTATCTAGATAATTGATCTGAAAAGCTCAATATCCTGGGTTTTGTGGCCAGTGTTTCAAAGAAAGACAAAAGCTTTCACTATTTTTGTTCAAAATTAAGTCATAAAATTGTTCAGTCCTTAAAGTACAGCAAGGGGAGGATTGTCACCTTTCAAGTTAACTATCTGCTTCCCCAGTCCTATATGTTTGTGCCTGCTTGAAGACATGCATAAAGAATCTTTAATGTTGCATTTTTTTACCTACTTTTAAATTACAAGTTGAGAAATAAGATTCATTCTAATATATACTTTCTAATAGATGCCCTCTATTTCTGTTAAGTTTAAAACACAGCTGCACAACTGAAACCATGCAAAAGAGGGTTTGAGTCTGTTTGCAATGTAACATTAAACAAGTTATTTTTTTCGCTACGGAAGAAAGGTAAGAATGCTTTAATGACCTGCTGGTACAGACAGTTTCAGACAATGAATTGGTTAATTCAGTTGGTATGATCTTAAGCTGCTTTTCACAGAACAAATTTAATTTAGTTTTATTTCATTTTAGCATTCGTCATAAGTAGTGACATAGTATGTTAACTGAATTATCTGGTTTTACTCTAATTGTTTTACAATTGTTTAGTTAACAGTTTCAGTATACCTTCTGTTTCTGGCCGGTGAAACAATGGTAAATGATCAAAGGAGGCTCATCCCTACCTGTAGCTTTCAGAAATTACCACCAATTTTAACCTATTTGTTACACATGGTTACACCATGTGATTGTTTATACAGCAGATCCCACTTCCAAATATTGACCTCCACATATGTGCACTTCTGTAAAGTACCATACTTTTCTATAATCTCGTTGTCACCAGATTTCTACATAGCACTTCATTTGTCAGCTGCTTGTGTCTTAATTCCATGTAAAAAATATTATATATTGCACAGAGGGAAGAGCGGAGAAGGAGGTATTAACTGAAACTTTGGTGGTGGCCAGGAACCAACTTTGTCCTTGCTGTCATACCACCGCTTTGTGAATTCTGCCTATTTTTTCACGTGCTCTCTGGTATACTAAGATTTCAGTTTGTCTTTTTGATGCAGCGTGTTGCTAAAGGGACACTCAACTCTCAGAATACTCTTTTTGAAATGTGAAGAGAACTGAAGGAGTAAAACTACTGAGCTATTCCTTCCTTGCCTGATCACTGAAGTGCAAACAAGAGTGGAGACGAGAGCTTTCCCCATGCTAATTCCTCAAGGCACAAATAGAGCTCAATTCTCCACATATCCTCCCGTATCTGAAAATCCTTTGCGTGTAAGCCTTCCTCTGCCCCTATGACTCTGCTTGCAAAGCTGTCCTTATCACAGTTCAGCATCCCCAACCCCTCATCTGATTCCAGCTTTTCTTCATCTCTGAGAGATTTAAAAGATGTAAGTGGACGGCAGTGTTTCTTGTCAGGCTTCATCTACAATGCTATCAAACTATTGGATTTCAGCACTTGCTTAGTTTGATGAAGAGAAATTGATATTTAAACCAACAGAAAGAAGTCCAAATTATTAAAACGTGTTTGTGAATTTTAATCATTTTACTATGTTTTGGCTAGAAAAATGCAAAAAATTCATAATTTGTGTATTGTATGGATACTGTTTAATTTCATTAAATCATTCTGTTATTTAGACTGCAGTAAATTCATCATAATACTTCAGGTTCCCTGAAACATGCATAAATACATGCACGTGCTTCATGCAAACACATATATGTAGAGGTGGGAGATGAAGCTGCAAAGCCTCTCAGCAGGGCTTCTGCCATGGCTCCTGTGAGAGAAGCCAAGGAAAGATGCAGTGCTGGTACCAGCTCCCTGTGCACTTCAGTGTGGCAGAAGGTCAGGTCTGGATGAAGTTTCATTATGGTGGTTGAAGCCCAGAGGTCCCTGTAGAAGTCAGAGGATGTACACACTCTGTCTGTGAGGAGCTAACAACAAACAAGCAAATGTCTGAATGGGTTTGAGCTCAGCAATGTTCCTGGTGTTAAGTGTACCTCTTGTCTAACAGATGCAGACAGGCAAGATTCTATCAATCTCTTTCTGGGAGTATTCAAGCCTACAGAAGGAAAACCTCATCTCTGGGAACTTCCCACTGATTTTTATTTGCATCACAAGAATACCCTCAGTCTCTCACAGACCAGGCGAAGGTATTTTGCTGTTCTGTTTTTGTTTGGTATTGATCTAATAAATATTTAAAAATACATGTTGTTAACCAAATAATTTGTGCAGCCTATCAAAAACTTGTTTACTGATTTTTAAGCTTTTACAAAAACTGGAAAAAAAAAAAAAAAGCTTCACAAAATTACCAAAACTGTTGGCTGTTGATGTTTTGAAGGATTTGCTTTAGTATGTTGTTTTTCTGTGGTACTGAAAAAAGTTTCATTTTATATGAAATTTGATCCTGCAGTGTGAAATGCTTCACTCTTTTACTGAAGTACAGTTGCCACTGTCTCTTTAATATACAGGTGTATTTTTGATGGTCAGATTTATTAGGTCATTGTAGATTAGATTAGGTGATGAGGATAACATTTGTTTATTGGTTCTGTGTAACACAGTCTGCTGCTGTGCATGCCAAGAAGCCCATGGTTTTTCTACCTTCCTTTCAGCCATGTCTAGCCTGTTTTGAAGACTATTTCACTTCATTTATATTCCATTGTAGTTGCACGGTATTATACAGAAGTAATAGAGCTAAAGCGTAAAAATTTTAAAGTAATTTTAGAGTACTTCACAATGAAGTGGAATGATTAAGGTTTATTAATATGGCGTGTAAAAAAAAAAAAAGACAAAACAAAAAAACCAAAACCCACAAAAAAACAAAACCAAACACACACACACAAAAAAAACCCCACAGCAAAGACCCTACCACCCCAAAATCCCCAACAAACAACCCCCCAAAAAAACACAACCCAACAAAAAACCACCAAACAAAAAAAAATCCCACAAACCAAAACACAAAAAAACCCAAAACAAAACCCCCCAAATAAAAACCTTAAAACTTAGATTTTAGTGATAAGGACAGTACTAGACATGTTAACTAAATCGTTTCTTTTTAGAATTTTGCAGTTTGTATCTGTGTTCATTCTATGAATCTTGAAGTTCTGTATCACAAATGGTAGATCTGAATATCTGCATTTAGATTTTTGTCTGGAGAAATTTGCAAGTATTTTAACAGTGTGTTCCATCCCTGTTGACTGCTTATTCCATTAACCTGTTGTGACAGCTGGCATGTGGTATGACTGTTTCTAAATTTTAAGCCTTTTGTATTGTATTCTGAAGCTTCTCTTGATGCTGGCTCGTAACAGTTATACAAGCAAGTGCTATTTCGAGCATGCATGAAACATGCTACATTAATTTTATTGCCTACTTGTTCCGAACATTATTGTATGTCAAAAATTAATTCAGCTGATATATCATAAATACATGAATGTCCTAGTCTCCCTTTTATCTGTAACTGTTAAACAACTGTCTCTTATTTGTCACAGATACTGTTCTCAGATGAGGGGGAACACTTTTTTTTAAAAAATTGTTGGTATTCTTCATTTACTTGTTAATTAGTTTTACCTTTTATTCTGGCCAGAATATCTTCTGAGCACTTATAGTATACAACCAAGGTGTTTTCTCATGAGAACAAAATGATACCTCCATGTAATAAGTTGGTGAAAAAAGCTCTTTCAAGTAATTTTTTGTTTCTACCAAACTACTGGGACAAATTCTTCATATAACTTCTTCCTGCCTCTCTGTTCAATGTCTTTTTTGGATTCCTTGAACACAGAAGCGAAGGAAATAACAAAAACTCATAATGAAATCAAGGATATAGGAAGAGAAGGAAGATGATGTTTCCTGTCATTGAAACTTCTTTTGACTATCTGTGCTTTTCCTATATTGTACTTGTCTTTCCATCAGAAAGAAGAGATTTCATAATTAGTTTCATATATTACTTTTATAATTTGTGATTCACGTGAAAGGCCAATGAATACGGAAAAGGAGACTTTCTGTTGTCACATTACTTATTTCTGCAAGCAGCAAAACTGGGTATGTCTGCATAGTTTCCGAAGGCACTGGAGAAAACAGCTTGCTAGCATGGCCTGATACAGAGTACTTCAGGAAGAGACAAGACCATCAGGCGTAACTCATTCCTTCCTGTCTAGGACATACACAGTTCTTGGAATTGAAGTGTGTTGCCCTGCCTGTTCTGCATTGTTTGTTAAATTCCACTGTCAAGTCTATCTCTGGGCATGGGAATACATCCATTGTTTCTGCTCCAGATGACTACATTGATATGAGTAGGAGATAACTGCATTGATACTCTGATTACAGCCCTTACAGTATTGTGAATACACACATATTTGAAATAAAAATCAGGGAAGATAAGCATATTTTCATACCAAGTAACAAAATAGAAGAACCTGTCAGAATAATTTAGATAAGAAATTAAAGTATATTTAAGAAGAGAAAAATAAGAATATGTAAACATGAATGAAAGATAAAACATGCTTTATTTTATCAATGTTGCTTGACTGACTTTGTTGTTTTTCAGAAATCCTGAATAAGCTTCCAGCAGGGCCTGGTTTTTGCTGTTAGTTATGCCAACAGTTCTCAGGCTTAGGGCAGCTGTCACATCAAAATGTGTTTTTTATATGTAGAAGTCAGCTGCTTTGACAATTTTATTATCGTTGACCTTCATTTCTTCATGCCATTTTCCTAAATTTTAGGATATGAATACCAAGTGGTGGGTGGGAATTGATGGGTTGATGTGGGGTTTTTTCCCCAAAAGATCAGAACAAAAGAAATCCACAGATACCTTCTCTATGTACTAAGATCTTAATTTTCAGTACTGTACAGGTAGACACCTGAAATGCATTTTGTTTAATGGAACAAAACCACTCTTCCCTCCATACCTTTATTGAGCTTCATGTGTTTAAATTTCATGGCCTGAGAGCAAAGTAGTAGGATAGGGACCTGTTGAAGTCCTCCGTCCAAGGATTTGGAAAGGATAGTTCCTTTCTTTCTTCTATGCTTGAATTACAAAGAAATGTTTACTAAAGTGAGATTGTACGGTTGGGTAACTGTTATGTGCAAACATTTAGACTGGATACAAGATCAAATCTTCTGTATCAATTGTGTGTCTTTTTCCTGTATAGTTATACTTACTGGTGGACCACAGGTGTGCTGAAGCATTTACCCCTTCCTTTTGATGAAGGTAGGAACTATGTTTGCTCCTTGCCTTTCAGACTGTCTTGAAAAAGAAGTTTTAGTCACAAATGCTTTTTAACTGTTTTAGATCCCAAATCTGAAAAAAAAAATGTTTTCATAATGATTGCTAAATACTTCCACCACTCCTCTTCAATGAGCTGACTTTTCAACTGCAGGATGCATGAGATACCTAATTGCTTAAAACTTGACCTTTGTATGTTTATGTGCCGGGGCTCACTTTTTTTTTTTTTTCCCCTTGCTTATTATCATATATTTATAGTCTGTGCTGGTGGTTACATTCCTATTGCAGATGACAGGGTATAGCTAGTGTGTGTTATTTCTCTGGGATACTGTAGAGCATGTTTTATTAGGAACTGTCATCATGAAGGGAAATCAAATTATGGTGGTTGATAATTCAAATTTATTAAAGCTGTGCTACACTTCATCTTCATATCATATTTTCTTGTCTTAGAGGGGATATGGCTGTAGAAAAATGCCTGGTAGTTTGGCTAGATAAGCAGGCTGTTTTATTTAGATTTTTGCAGAATCAGTAGTTGTTAGTAAAAAGATTTTTTTTCTTTTCCGTCGAGTGACATGTGCTGAAAACAGACGCAAGTTGACAGTGAAGAAATTCCACAAGTATGAAGAGGAAATTGATATCCACAATGAATTTTTTCGGCCGTATGAGTTGAGCAGTTTTGATGAGACTTTCTGCTTGGCAATGACCAATTCTACACGGTATATTGGGATGTTTGGTGACGATAAATCCTTAACAGGAAACTGATTTGGTGTGAATTAAATGTATATTTGATTTATTTGGTTAAATTTGTGTAACATGATAGGTTTTGTGGGGTGTTTGGTTTTTTTGTTTTAAGTTCAAATTTGGCAAACTTCTAGAAACTAAATCACAACAGTGAAATCAAAATGCTACTCTAATAAAATTTTGTTAAGATAGCTTTTAAACTTCCAGTTATTTTCCATTATGGGATACCAAATGTTTGGGCACCTGAAGGCTGAGAATTAAGCTTTTTTTTCTGTGGACTCAGATCACAGAGACTATGTTCAAAGCAATTTTCTAATTGTTCTGCTCTCATTTTACAATTGTTTTCTTCAGTTCATCAGGTTTTCACAGCTGGCCAGATAGGGGTTTTTTGTTTATTTGTGGGTTGGTTGGTTTGTGTTTTTTTTGTTGGCAGCAATCAGCAGGATATTCTAAGCATAATCTTAATCACACTTTAGCTAAAGACTTCCAGGCAGATTACTTTGTGTGCCTTTTTGACCAATTTGAGTGTTGGCAGCATTTTGAAAACAGTGTAGCTGAGTTACAGGGCTTCTTCAGCACAGGAATGGAGCACATTCCTCTAGCCGCCTTGGCAAGTGGTAATGTTTGCAGCTGTTTTATGTAACTAAATAATGCAATTGAAAGCTTTTTAAAAGCCTAGGGGGTTTATATTTACATGACTTTAACTTGTAATAGAATGTGGTATTTCTTTTTATAATGTTTTTTTTTTTTTAATTCAAAGGTAGATGTTAGAGGGTTTTTTTCCAGAAAATTAAAAAATTTTATGTGTTGAACTTCACTCATAAACAGTTTTTCCTTTCTGTTTTGGCAGAGATTTTATGCCTAAGAATGTGGGGATTGATCCAAGTCCATTTACTGTTCGTAAACCTGATGAAACTGGAAAATCAGTGTTGGGGTAAGTCTGAAATATGAAATTTTGTTCTGGTTTAATAGTAGTGAAATAGTAATGCAAATATATACACTGTGTGTGTCTGTAGCATATTTTCTGTTACATGAAAATAAAATATCATTGATGTTATACTGTAGAATTGTACGCTTTGAAAGTCATATCTAATTTGAGATTTTTCTTTGACACTGGGAATTCCTTATTCAGACTTGTTTAGTCTTTTCTGTTTTCTTGTACTCCTCTAAGTGAAACCCATGAGATATTTTATCTAGAATAAAGATACAGAGGTTGTTAAAATTTGATCATCTTTCATACTAGTGGCAACTGTATTCTCTATTGGAGAGACAGGAATGCATATATTGTCTTTTTTTTAAAAAAATAGAACAAATATATCCTGAAATAGCAATAAATGCCAATTTCTGCATAGCGTTTGATAAAAAATATTATTAAAAATAATTATACATCAAATTACATAAAACAATTCAGCAACAGTTATTGGGACAGATGAATGTTTCATTTAGCTGCTTTCATATCCTGGACTTGCTTTGTTACTTTATTTTTTCTACTGTTGTGTTTGATCTACTGTATCACACAAGGGCTATGGGAACTCTTCCTGAACCAATTCATTCTTTCTTTGATGCCTCATATTAAGGAAACCTTTTGTCGGTAATGACTAAACCTGTGCTGTCACAACATAGTAAGTTCTGCTGAAGACTTGCTATTCTGTTAAAACCTATAAAATTTGACTGTCTCATAAATAACGTCTGTTGTGCCTTGACCCTGACTCACTGTAAATAAATGTTGAGAGTAGATTATTCTTATTACTTGTAGAACCTGATTTCATGCTACTGATGTTCCCTGGGAATAATCAGGAAGACTGTGCCATGGTTATACAGTTTATCTCTGTTAAGCATTGTGAGTTTATGGGTACTTCTGAGGATAAGCTTTATTCTTCTGCTTTGGTATAATGTCAGATTTTGGACTTAACCGATTTCTCTCCAGCTATTCCATTGAATACTTGACCATTATACATTTTTCTCAGACACTTTGCTTCAAGCTCTCCACTGTGATTTTTTGGGATTGTTACAAGATAGTCAGCTGGATCAAAGCTATGTTCCAGGACTTGTTGGGTATTGCTCATAAGGCTTCCCATGCATTGGCTGTGTAGTGGGGTAAAAGGTGGCTTCGATCTTTCACCTTACCCATATTTAGCCATTGGTAGAGGTGGTATCTTTCCCTTGCACATATGTCATCATCTTTTGTGACATTTTTGGAGGATTTGGTGATCAGTTTTCATCTGTAAGTGTTCTGGTCCCCTAGGACTATTAGATCTTGGCCTTCTGAGTATGTGTTGGGAGTGGGGATATCATTCTTACCACTGTTTGTCCACTTGCTCCATTCTTAGCGTTCAAAAAGGACTGCTCTTCTTGTGACCTTCACCTCATTTAGAAAAGCAGTGAAGATAACCTTAGTTTTCTCTTAAAATAATGCAGTATGTCTTCATAATAGTTTCCTATAAATTTCAATCTAAGGAGATGTCAGATGCTGATGAGTCAGAAATTAAACTTACCTGTGGTGTTTTTTCTGCTAATGCATTTGTTCCAGCTATAACAATTCTTCTGATATATTAATGTTCTTGGGGGTAGGGTATGCTCTTGGATCAAGAGCCTTTGGGAGGGCTCTTACATGTTTACATGTGTTTCTAATGCATATAAACTTTAGCTAATTCACTACAGGGATAAACTACTGTATGAGGTTTGAGCAATTGGCAGAACTCTGTGACAGTCATGGTGTGCTCCACTAGAGCTTAAGTGAGACTCATGACCTCCATGCCTTTGCTGATGAGAACTCTAGGGTTGCAACTCAAAACAGGATTTGCACCAAACTGCATGCTTTTGTCAAAGCCTCTTAGCATGCTGCTGTCTTTCTTTAGGGCCTTCTTTTAGAGTAAGTCACTATCATGGTTTAACTCCAGCTGGCAACTAAGCACCACACAGCTGCTTGCTCACTCCCTGCCCTGGTGGGATGGGGGAGAGAATTGGTAGGGTGAAAGTAAGAAAACTTGTGGGCTGAGATAAGAACAGTTTAAAAATGTAAATAAAATAATAATAATGATTTGTAATGAAAAGGAATATGAAAAAAGAGAGAGAAATAAAACCCAAGAAAAACAAGTGATGCAGTTGGAAAACAGTTGCCCACCACCAACTGAACGATGCCCAGCCTGTTCTTGAGCAGTGGCCTCCAGCCAGCTTTCCCCCTAGTTTATATGCTGAGCATGACATCATACGCTATGGTCAGTTGGGGTCAGCTGTCCTGACTGTGTCCCCTCACAGCTTCTTGTGCACCCCCAGCCTCCTCACTGGCAGGGCAGCATGAGAAGCTGAGAAGTCCTTGATTTGGTGTAAGCACTGCTCAGCAACAACTGAAGCATCAGTGTCTTATTCTCATCCTAAATCCAAATCACAGCACTATACCAGGTACTAGGAAGAAAATTAACTCTAATCCCAGCTGAAACCAGGACAGTCATGCAATGTCAGTATATATATATGGACAGTCACCTCAGCAAGGAGGAGATGTTGCTTCTCTGTTTCCAGAACTGATTTGTCTGTAAACTTTCTCATTACCTGCCTTCCAGTCCCTCTTTCTCTAGAGTCCTTGAAAGATTGTGACGGTGTCTGAGAGGAAAGTGCAACCACATACCCTTCTATGGCTAGTAGGAAAGGGTGTAGAGGTTGTACCATTTTTGATGGGTAATGTGTACCTTTCAGAGCTTGTACAGTTAAACCCAGTGTTATCCTACTAAAATATAGATGCTGTATCTCGAAGAATTCTTACAAATAAGGCACCTCTTTATACTGACTAGAATTTCTAGAGTGAGAAATATATGCTGCATAAAGAAATATGGCTGATTAAAGAGCTAAACTGAGGGGAGAGGTATGGAAAAAGGAGGGGTAAAAGTGACATAATTAAGATTATTTTTAGGGCCAAAATTGAGAAAGCTAGTGGAGTGGATAGTGTTATTAATCAGCACGTGAAACTTTTTCCCAGATCAAAACCAAAGACGTTATGTCTCAATGAATTTTTAGTCCTTTTTATTCAGTCAGTCTGTGGAAGGGATTTAAAGTAAAGAATCAGAGAATTGGTGGAGAAAAGCTGACATAATCCTTTGAGCTATCTTTAAATGCTCTGGACTAAGAAGAGATTGAAGAAAAGTAAATCAATTGGGATTCAAAAGATGAACAACAGGTTGCTCCAGAGGATAAGAACACATTTTCCGCAGTAAGACTGTAATCAAAATTAGGAATTTTAAATACTTGTTAATATCTCACTAGTTTCATAAATACATAGTCACTGATTTCATAAATACACTGTCTTTCATAATAGGAACAAAAGTAATAGAGAAGAAACGGTGCTGCAGCGCAAAACAGCTGCTAGTGCTCCTCCACCCCCAAGTGAGGAAGCAGTGTCAAGTAGTTCTGAAGATGATTCTGGGACAGACAAAGAAGATGAAGGTGCTGTTTCTCAACGTTCAACTCCAGTAAAGGTGACTGATACAGGAGAGAATACAAAAATCACAGAGGTAAGAAATTATTGTGGTAGTCGAGAAGGCTAAACATGGACATAGAATTCACTTAAAAAAAAGAAAAGATAAATGTTACAGAACAGTTACAAGTAAAGCACTGAGAAATTATGTGAAAAAGCTCTCCAGTGTAATTTCTTTGTGTAGATATTAGCACAACTGCTTATAAAACTGCTGTTATTCTTGTCATGTAATGACATGTGTGTGTGTGAAATACAACAGAAAATACCACTTTTGAAAAAATGAAAATTACAGTTGGAAACCTATGGCATTTGAAAAGTACTCAGGTCAGGTGTAGTCCATTATAAAACTGTAAAAATATATCTATGTTAATGTGTTAATTCAGAGCAGTAGTGCAGTTCTGATCATTGTCCTTTACCATGCTCTGGCTCACATCACAAGGTGGTCTTGGAGCATGCAAGTGGAATTCCTGTTTGGATGAAACTAAACTGGGAGATGCTTCTCCAGGAATGTACCTGATCTACGTACCTAATCAACATTATCCATGGGAGCTTATCTGGAGCAAACCCCCCGAAAGACATGTAGTATGGATCTGAGATCCTGAGCACCACCTCTTTCAATTACAAATCTATTCCTTTTGAATTATGCTGGTTAGTCAAGCGGATATAAATGTAAATCTGCATAATGTTCAGTAATGTTCAATCTGGCTAAATTTCAACCTGTCTTATGTGAAGATTTTTTTTAATTGCTGTTTCATAATTATATGGTCTGACATTTAAAGAAAAAGAAAGGAAATTAACTCAAAAAATATGCATGATAATGTTATCACCTTGGTCCTACAGTATTGCTACTACCAAGGTTGAAGATAATGGAAGGATAATGGTGAACTTGTGTATGCACAGTCATATGAAAATTGTGGGCTATTAATGTTTTTTTGCTGACATAACTCCAGTTCTGTTGGAATCCCTTGGGTGCTAATTTAGTGAAAACATTTATTCGAATGAAGTATTATGGAAGTATCTATTTTATTAATACATGTAACATTTCTTCAAATGCTGTCTTGTAGATATCCATTTTGGGTACCACTGAAAACATCTTAGCAAAAGGATGTGCTAGTACAGGCTACAAATTTTGAAAATACTTGGGGGGATAGGGGGATGTTTTGGGTTTTTTTCAAGTCATGGCTGATTTAAATGGTTAGTGTTGTGCTTGTACACATCATCACTTTTGAAGAAACGTCAGTATTTATGATCTTAGTCAGTATAAAATGTATAGGTAACAGAGAGTAAAACTGCCTTTTTTTCTTCTACAATTCAAATTTTCATTCCATTCCGTCCATAGCCTAGGGTTGTGTGTTTTCAGATCATGGACTTTCAGTGTTGTATACAACACTGTCTTCTTCCTAACCTTAATGAAGCGTTTTCAGTAAAACAACTATGAATTCATGTGGTATTAATTTTGGACAATTTGGATAAATCGTTATGCCAATATAAGTGCATTTATTGCTGTTTATGCAAGATATTTTATCTGAAAAATGTCCATTGTCTCTGAATAATAGAGTACCTGTTTTCCAGCAAGTCAGATTGTTCCTAGATTTTTTCTTTTAACAACAAAAATCCAACCTGAAATTTTATTCTTGAATCTTACCATTGCACAAGTTACCTCATGTCAGTTTTTCCATCTGTGTATTGAACACACTTCAACATTCAGACCTAATTTTTTTTCCAGATTTTTAAGATACCTAAATGAAAGATGCATGTAAACACAAAATATTATTTAAGACAGTATTGAATTTTAATGGGTTACAGTTGGGTGAGCTATTCTAATTCTTTTAGTAATGCACATGAAGAAGTATTTTCCATTTTATTAGCACCTTTTAATGAATTTTAGTCATAATTTGTGGCGTTAATTTGTGTCATTGCTTATTAAAACTGCAATGCTGAAAAGGATTACCTATTCAATTTTGCTGAATTGCTATGTTAGCAGTTAACTTGGGTTATTGTTAATGTCTGCCTACCTATTGGAAATTTGTTTATTCTTTTCAAAAGTACAAAGCTGTTCTTAGATAAATTATTTTTGAGGGCATGATGTTTATAGAAACTTTCTGTTCAGAAACCAAACATATGAAACTTGATGTGCATTTTCTGGAACTGGTAAACCATAGAAATGTTTCAGATACTTTTTTCTTTTTTTCTCAAGTTAAGCTTAACTTTAATAAGAAACTTTAATGAATAATGCACTTTGGCCTAAGCTTACAAATACTACATTTTATGTTTCCGTTACCTAAACTGACAGTTTATTAGCAACTGTAGAGTAGAGAAAAATTGTATCATTATGGGGTGAGGGGAACCCAAACAACTAGTCCACATCTCACAGAAGTTTATAATAAAATGCTTGTATGCTTCTTGTCAGGATATTATCTTTCCAAAGGTGGTCTTTGACTTTGTATCTTTCTGAACTAAAAGGAAACTACTTTTATAGTTGACTTACTTGCAGCCACACATGTCTTGTCAGTGAAACCCCTCAGTTTAACACTGAATCATTAGACATAGTGAAATACTGCATGTGCATTGGCTCCCTGTTATAGCTGACATGATTGTGTAATATATGAAATAAAAATAGTTTTGTTCAACCTGAAGCTTTTAATTACTTCAGAATTGACAGCAGGAAATGTGAAAGCAAATGTGGGAGCATGTTCTGAATGAATATGATTTATTCCATGTTAACTTTCAATACAGAACAGAATTTAATGCCTACAGCATTATATGTACTATGAATATAGCTTATTCTCCTAATATGTTGTTTTATCTCATGTTATCTTTCAAGTTTCTTGTTGAACACATATCTTAGAGTATTTTTAATAAATGATTTTTATTTAAAAAAAAAAAAAAAACATGCACAAGCTAATGTTACGATGTATATGAGAAGCTTGTTTGGTTTTGCCTGTACTTTTGAAATTCTTTTCAGGTTTAGAAAGAACTCCTTGCTTGAAAGCAAACGTTTCTTTGGATGTTGTTACAGTATCCTCAGTCTGAATCTTTCTTCTTATGTTCCAGAACGTCGTGCAGTCAACAAAAGATGTTTATGGAGTCAATCTTTCAGATGTTCCTTCAGAAGATGATCTCACAATATACACTAGGTGAGATAAAATTCCAGCGATAATCAGCAAAAGATAATTGGAGCTAGTTAAATACAGCTTGTCAAACTTATTTAAGTTATAAATCTTAAAGATATTTGGATATATACACACTATTCTGTTTTTACAATTAAACTGTTTTCAGATGTCTATGTCAACTCTGACTTCAGTGGAAGCTATGCAGATGTCTCTGAATGCAAAATTTCAAACTTAAATAGAATGAAAGATGCTTCAGTACAAGTATTTGTCACTTTAGAGTCATAGAAATTATAAACAAATGCCGTATTAGGAGTGGTGAGATATGTAGTCTGTGTTTTTTTTCAATTTCTCAAATGTTGACTTAAAATTCAAATCAGTCATAAGTGAAATAGCCTCTTCTATAAAAATGCATCCAGAACAACGGAAGTCTTAACATGTCTTACTCATAGAGATATGTGTTAACTGTTACCTTTTACTCAAATTTGAGTATTTAAATTTAATAGTTGTGTGACTTTTGATGTTCAAGGAAAGTTATTTTTCTGAATAACATTCATCCTTTTTCTTGAAACAGCTTGGCCTTTTGAGCCTGAAATTTAAAATAAATGTGGATTTTATAGGGAGACCTTGAGACCGTTACTAAATCTGGTATAGACTATGAGGAGAAAAGTTGAGAAAAGCGGTCAGAATAACACACTGCAGAAGCACAGTATCTAAGTGACAAATATTTGTACTGAAGGTTTCAGTAGAGGGAGTCAGTTTGACCCTTGCCATTATTGGAGTTTCATGAAATAACAACATGCAAATATACGTGGTGTATGGGTTTACGCGTGTGCGTGTGTGTGTGCGTGTGCGTGTATATATATATATATGCACACAGTGGTAGGCGTCGTGTGTGTAATAATGTGCTCTTCCACACTGTGTTTTGAACAGCATCATACTGCCACTTGTTCTTAATAAATGGCTTTGTGAATTCAAACCATACATATGGAAATTAGTAAGATATAGCATAGTGCAAGACAAAATACAACTCCTTAGGTGGTCCAGCAAGTTCCCACTCAGTTCCTGCACTTTGAGGTAAACTGCTACAGTGTCAGGCAGCATGGCTGCCCAGCACCTGAAGGCTCTCCTCAGGAGCTGGGAGCTGCTGTCTTACTGTGAGCAGTTGGAGGCAAGAGTTGGTGGGCAAGCATCAAGGTATCACCTCCCAGCTCCAGCTACACACAAAATTCTGCTTTTATTCAAGGCTAACCTGGACTTTTATCCCCTACAAGACAGTTGTCACCACTCCTGCAGGAGCCCTGAACTGTCAGCTCCCCAAAAGCAGTAAATTAATGGTATGCTTCTCCAACAAAAGGCATTGACTCCCATTGTATCAGGAATGCTGTTTCTGAGTTGCCACAACCCCATATAGAATGCTGACTATGTATTGCCTAGAATGCTGACTATGTATTGCCATTGTTAAAATTGTTAAAAACTTACACTGTTGTTCTCAAATTCTCTCCTCAATGTCACAGAGTAACACTGAAGATTAAAAGAAACTGGTTAAAATATTTTCTTCTTAAATCAGAAATTTTGAACCTTTTGTGTTGTTTTTTTTTAAACTCAAACCAAAACTGGACTAGAATAATTTCAGTTATAGATGAACTAGAACTGAATCAAAAAGTTACTTATTGTGTTCCCTGGTGGAGGAGATTCTTTTCTGAACTGCAGTCTTTTTCTTTGGAAACCAGTCAGAGTAATGGGAATTCAGTACTTGAGATCAGTTGGAGAAATTTAGATCCAAATTGGAGACCCTCTTAGTTACTAAAGGCTTATAACACTGTTGTCAAGAGAGCAATTACTTACATGAGACACCAGGAGTCCAAATCAATTACATTTGCGTAATAAACCAATGTTTCAAACACCTGCTTAGAATGTAGAATTAATGGAGTTTGAGAAAAGAGGTGTAAGAAAACTACATGTCATCCCAGAAAAACACTGTAAGTATATTGAAGTGAGTATCTGTGAGGTGTGCATTGAAATGGGCTTGTGTGCATTTGGTTTTATTTTCTAATGTGTAATAGCAGTGATTACCTTGCTATATTTGAAAATTTTCAATTTGTGAGGAAAGTTTTAATTCGCTATGGCATCTTCTCATTTGGCAATATGTGATGGTTAATCCTGACTTAGTTCATTAATCCTCTAAAAGATGTTTTTTTCTTTTTATTTAGAAGTCTTTTTCAGCTAATTTTTCTTTAGGGGTAGCTACCTCTCTTGCACTCTTTAGTGCTTTGGAATTCCTGTTTCTATTTCCTACATGCTGAGTAATTTGAAGATAGTACACTTAAATAGGGTCGATGAGGATGTTTCTCATTAGCTCTGAAATTTTTAACTTCAGTGACACCTGTATCTTTGGTACTTTATTTTAACCACTAGGAAATGGACGCCAATTTAAGAATTACCCTTTGGTATACCAAATAGTTATGCTTGTTTTGCAAATGGCCTGGTGCAAGCTGGTGTCTACCATGAGCCCCTTTGTGTGGATGAGCAGTGCTGTGATAACATCCAGAATTGCAGCTGCTTCCCATTTTATCATTTTTCAGACTGAACTAACATTCAGTCTGTTGTTACAGTAGCACTACAAACTCCATGGGGGCTTTGAAGCTCCCTATTCATATCCTTTTCAAGACAGAAAGAGCTTGCATTTATTTAATTTCCCTCAAGCAATGCAGGCTTTAAAAATATAACAAATACAAACTCCTTACCTCTTTTAGCTCATGTGACATAGTGCTATTTATGGTCTGATGTGATGATTTATGTGGAAAGTATAGATTTTACTGACATCCTTTGTTACAATGTACATCATCTGAGAATAGCAGCAATTTATTTCACAGTATGATTACAGTTCTCACTTCAAGTCCTTTTCTATTATTGTAATAAGGGAAATGGAGATGTAAGTTCCTGACTCTACTTGACATCGTTGAACATGTTATGTATTTTTTCTTTATTAGCATAAGGGACTTGCAGATTTAAAGTACGTGAGGTTAAGTTACTTTATGTTAACTGATCTATATTAAGTCTATATGTGAATGAAAAGTAATTTGAATCTGTTCAGCTCGTTTTCACTGATGGCTGGGATAACTTGTGTTAATTCTCATCAAAATAAAAATCGCAGAGGCACAGATTGGTTGAGTTTGGAAGGGACAGGAGGTTCCTCAAATAATTTGAGGATGTATACTGCATATCAACTGTGTGTGGTATCTTACTGGTATCTGGTAACTTGCTTGTATTAATTTAGGCCTTATTTGTTTTGGAATATTTAATAATTTGAAGCAACAAATTTCAATAGTTACACCTTTAGTTTGCCTTTGTTTTTTTTAAGCTTGTTTCAATAGCAAGCTCCTGCACTAGAAGATCTTAATTATCTTTATTTCCACTTAGAATTATTTAGAAATGTAAGTTTTTCTGCCTCCAGCATCCAAAGTGATGTCACATGTTTCTGAGGCTTTTGTTTCTACAGTATAGAAGCTGAATGGAGCATAAAGAAGTCACAATAAGCTGTTTAGGAATGTATTTTTCCTTTGTCTTCTGTACACTTTTGCATCCAATTGCTTTTGCACTGTTAATTGTCCCCTGTTAAAATGCTGTAAATATTTCTGAAATAGACCAATAAGACTATTTTTAATCTAAATGGAAGCTAACTATTAAGAAAAACCCTCCACCTCAGAAAATTCAAGTATTAAATCACAGATAACATTTACTTCTGTTTTCAGTAGCACAGATGTGTTGGTGAATAAATGGAGTTTGAGTGCAAGATAACTACATATACATATATTTGAAATCCACTGACTTTTCCTCTTAGACTGAGTGAATAAGATTAGTGATTAACTACGTTTTTTTAAATTTAGTCCAAGTCAATGCCAAGAAAAAAAGCCATAGCAGTATTTTTTATTTCAGTGTCTTCCAACAAGTATTTGGAGATGGGAGAATTCTCCCAAAAGGTTGTGCTTGTAAATAAGGAATCTGGGCTAACAGTATTTTAGCTGACTCAACTAGATTGAATTTGGCTGAGGACTGACTAAAATCTGAAATTTGAGAGACTTTCTATCTCTTCTGTTGACTTTTCCCATAAGCTATTCATCTGACTGATTGCTTTGGAAAAGACATAGGAAGCTGACTGTAGCAGGCTGCCTATTTCATAGGAGCAGAGACCTGTTTCTAATCCCATGACATATTAGGTGACATCTAGTCAAGCTAAGAGAAGATAGAGTTCTCACATGTACCCCCTGCAAAGTTTTAAAAATGCCTCGTTTACCAGAGACCTAGTAGTTCATGATCAATGACTTATATAAAATGACTTAAGAGCTTATTCTTTTGGTGTCATTTTCTTTCATTTGCTGAATTTTGGGGGATAGTTCTTTTACTTTCTTTTGATTTATTCTGTCTACCGCTTTTCCCAGGTTTGTTCAGCTGGGACAGAGTCAGCATAAACAAGACAAGAACAGCCAGCAATTTTGCTCAAAACACCACTTGGATAGGGTTATAAATTGCCCCTTTTTTTTTTTTTTTTTTTTTTTTTGCTTTTCTCATTAGACCTGAAAAATCAAGTAAATTTGATATTAAATTGTTTGAGAGTCATACTTTTGTTGCTTTTACTACATAAGGGGATTCAATGCATAGCATGAAGAATTGGTTCATACTTCTCCCTTGTAACTTAAAAAAAAGTGCATTGGCTGGGGGGGAGTGTTGTTGTTGGGTTTTTTTAGTTTTTGTATTCAAAATTCTTAGCAGTCATGAGTTACCACAACACAAAGTGCTGAAGCTGCTGACTTTAAAAGGCAATTTCTTCTTGCTGAGAGGGCTTTTGAAAGAGATAGTTTGAAAGGGATTGGTTGACCTGCGTGTTCGTCATTAAAAAAACATTCAAAGTTGCAACCATCTTTAGTGTGCAGTTACCTGGATTTATTTATTCTGAGAAGTCTATGAGTGCCCTGTATTTATTTTAGTAGACATTTGAGGAGTCTTGAAAGGTCAAATGGAATATTTTTATATTTTTAATTTTCTGGTGTGTGGCCAGGTGCTGGAGAGAGTAGGGTAAAGTGGGAATTGATTCCTGCTTTGTTTTGTGCATTTGATCCCTATCTGTGTCGCTGAAGTCAGAGGGTCTATACTATCAGTATGCAGTGTTTTAACTGAAGAAGAAAGCATCTTGAATCTTGCACAGATGCTATTTTAACAATTAGTTTGCTACGTTTTCCTCAGAAGTATCTCCTTGGGTTTTTTTTTGGTTGTCTGCTTTTCATTACATACTGGTTCTGTGCATTGTCAGATACTTTGAGCCAATGAGCCATTTTTTTTAAACAGTTCATCTGTTACAGTAGATATATTTTGCATATTGTTTCAAACAGGTAAGTAGTTGATGGTAGGTTGCAAGGGAAGATCAAGCTCCAAGTGCTTTTTGCCAGTGAAACACTTAGAATCATAGAATCATTCAGGTTGGAAGAAACCCTTGGGATCATCGAGTCCAACCATCAGCCCTGCTCTACAAAGTTCTGCCCTACACCATATCCCCTAACATCTCATCTAAACGACCCTTAAACACATCCAGGGGTGGTGACTACACCACCTTCCTGGGCAGCCTATTTCAGTGTCTAACCACTCTTTTTGTGAAAATTTTTTTTAATACTTTAATCCCAGAAGATTAGTATGGGAGCCATATTCAACAAAGCCAATTATGGTGGGGTGGTAGGAGGATTGCTCACCAGAGATATCTGCCATGTGGAATAACTTTGATGTATTCTGCTGTGAATAGAGTAACTTTCCCTTCCTATGAAAAATAATTGTAACGAAATTACAATAGGTGTACATGTTTAATTTCAACTGAAATAAGGAATTAATTGTATGTGATCATGGATTGATTATTGCTGTACAAGAATGACCTTTAGTGATAGGCCAGATCATTTGAATCTTTTCTTAGTACCAGTATAAAAAAGGGTCATGATATTATCCAAATATACTGTTATTGAAGAGGTCTTGGAATTTAGGTGATCAACTCCTTACTTCCCAGTTGACATCTTCCTGTGCTGTAGGCAGCTTAAAGTTTCACCAAGGCAGGTTTTTATTTACTTTTGACTCTGGGGTACAAGACCTCTTACCCAACAGCAGGGCCACTCCATAGAACTGCAGACCTTTACTGTAATCCATTGATTTACAGAAGACTTAGCTTTGCTTCCTGCAGTGATTCTAGAGCATTCCCTCTATGCTGATGAAGTGAGGGAACCTTGAGCATAGCACCTACCCAAGCAGGGATAGAGACTGAGGGTGTCTCAGTGGGGCTGAGGGAGCAGGATAGCATGAAACAAGTTTAATATTGTGTATGAGACAATACTGCCTAATATCAGTGCTTAGTCATTTGGTATTAAATACATTTAAGGTAATGATGCCACTGTACATGGTTCATCATTAATAATCTTACACTTTGTAGGTCAATGTAGTTTTATAATAAAATATATCCAATGGTTATTAAAATAGCAAGTTAGGTTGGTAAACTGTAAAACTGTTTCTAAAAATGAAGGCACAACCCTGAATGTTTTGAAGGGAAATGGTTATTAAGAAGTTATTTTATAATAATAGCAAGAAAGATGATTCCTTTTGTGCAATTGTAAAATCTCCCAGCATGTTTGACACTGCAGGAGATAATTCCTTTCTTGCCCCCTTAAAATAGAGTAAATTATTCCCCATGCTATGCTTCTGTAAAACAAATACGTTAAAGAGTGCCTATACACATAATTCTGGTAGTCAGATGTCTATACGCATAATTCTTGGGTAGTCAGATGTTCATTTTTCTCCTTTCCCAAGTGTAATTTCCATGTTTTTCCGAACAGTGAAAGTGTAAAAGTCATAGAGCACACAAATCTGTGCCTTCTGTCACTCCTCCTCTTGAAGTAGATCATCTTTCTTTGCCAGTTCTACCAAACATGCTCTTCTGTGCAGATATGAGAGGAGACAGGGTATCTTATAGTCAGTAATTTCTTTTTCTGAAAGTATATCTTTATACAGCCTAAAAATTTTCTTCAGCTATTTTTCTGCAGCTTTAAAAAAACATTAAATATTGTTTGGACAGTGACAAATTGTTCTTTCAAGAAAAGTCATAAATGTCACCAGTCTTTAAAGGCATGTTGTTCAATTCTAAAACAAGGAAGCTTTCTCTTACTGAGTTTGAATTGCTGTTCTGAGTCAGAAATTTCCTTGGAGAATACTAAATTTTTAGAGATAAAATAGCTTGAACATAGTTAAGAGAGAGGGTTTTCAGTAATAGTAGTTGAGGCAGATCTTGCACTTGTTGGACTGTTATATTGCCTTGTTGCCCAAGAAGTACTCGAAGAAGTTAAAAAATTATGCTAACTTGTATTAACTTGATGTTTGGTGCATTTTAAATTGAAACAAATCTGGCAAATTTGATTCTGCAGTAGTTCCTTCTAGATACAAATGCAATTAAACCGCAGTCCTTTTCATAGTAAAATGAAGTACTCAGTCTAAAACTTTGATTTCTCATCAGCAGTCAGATATAATTTAGGCCTAGGTTAGTTGCTGTCATTTCCACACTTTTCAAGAAAATCTTTTTTTTAATATCCTTTTTAGATCTTAAAAAAACCCAAAACAACCTTACAACCTTAAACATGTGGCCATTTTTATCAGATACGTAAAGCCAATAAAAAAAAAGAAATATTTGTTATTTTTACAAAGTCACTTTAGAGATATTTATGAACTGGAATATGCATTATTATAGAAATACTGAAGAGAAGCTTTTGGCTTAAATTTAGAAACTCTTAAGTATAGATTAGAAGCAAAAAATTGATACTTGAACAGGGTCTACAGTGATGCAGTGAAAGAATACTGAAAATGAGTGCAGAATGTAGAAGGATATTGAAGCTTCTCTCTGTTCAAAGAAATTCCATGCAGGGAAGAAGGGTAGAATTTTAGTTAGACCTAAACAGAGCTGGATTACTTTTAACACCATCTACTATCATGGATGTGAAGAAAAACTTTGAGTACTGTAGTATAATTCCTGTTGGCTGACACAGTGCACCTGTTCTAGTTCCCTAGTACTCATTGCGGTGTGATATAAATAATACTGTAGAAAAATATACTCAGACACCTTCCAAATGTTCTTCTTGCATCTAGGAGTATGAGAAATTTGATTCCCTCACAAACAGGGAATTGAGTGTTTTGATTCACTGCAGCACTTCTGGAGGAGAGTGTTTGTGCCTGTGCCCATTGTGGCCTATGCAATATAGCAGTAATGCTTGTGCACCAGCTTAGATTCTTCCATAGGTATCTACTCTCCTGTTCAGTTTTGTGGGGCACTGGTAATGCTCAAGCAGGAGAACACTTTACTGAGTGATATCTGTATGGTCCAGGGCTATTTTGTCCTTAACTACTTGAAAACTACACCCTGCCTTCAGAGATATATAGTCCATGTTTTCAGAAGTTCCCTTGGTATTAAATTCGTAATTTTTTTTTTTCTTAAATCAAGACTTCCTAGATTCTGCTTGTTATCCAAGTATTGATCAAACATGACTCAAATTGAGTAGCAGCTGTCTACAAGTTAGCAGCTAACTATGTACAGGTAGTAGTATATGGGCTTTTTTACTGTTTGTTTCTGTGTATATGCACAATACAGACATTATTTTTTCACCAAGATAAAAGCAATGAAGCAAATTTCAGTGAACAGTGGAGTACTATATTTTCCTGCTTTGTTAAATAAATGCTCTACTGGGGTTTTTTAAATCTATAATACCACTTTAAATTATAAAAGTAAAAATAGAGCAATTTCAATAGTGTCTTACAACCTTAGTTACTTTTGAAAACTGTTGCCTCAATTTAGAGCAATTCTTTTGTTCATTCAGTACTTCCATGTGACTTTGTTAGGATAAGGTCTGTGTCTTGGAGGATTAGATAAAAAATAGCTTTGTATTTGTAGACATGGCATTATCACTGCTTTATAACTGTGCTAAAGAAAAGGTTGGTATTGAACTTGTAATCTTTCTGTGTATTCGCATCCTAGGAGTTCTTGGGGGTTCCTTATGTTGAAAGGCAGAAGTAAATGAATAAAGGATATTTAAGAGTGTTAAATATATTTATTTTTTATACTAAACCCATGCAGAATATCTAAATAGTTTCTTGACACTGCTGTGGAAACAGTGAATCAAAAGGTGTTCAAAATTAGTCAACAAGCAACTTTGGAAATTACATGTTATGTTGGATTCTCAAGAGTATTGATAGTTTCACAGTACAATGCTTTCTTGCATGCTCTGCTTCAAATGTGCACCTCAATATCTTGCTTCACATCAGAAAGTTAGATAAACCTTGAAGGCATTTATTCACAAAATGAGAATTGTTACGAATATTCCTGGAAATTATAGGTGAAGAAATTGTTTATATTCTGTCATCTGTTTACACCAAGCTTAAATCACAAAGTTGCCTTATCTAATTGCTGTCTTCTGATGAGGTGGCCGGTTGAGGTTTCTGTTTTTCTGAAAAACCACC